GGATAGAAACATTAATAAAAGTCTCTCTAGCTTTAATGATTTTTTTTTTTTTTAGAGATGGGGTCTCTATATCGCTCCTCTTGTCTCAGTCTCCCAAGTAGCTTGGAATACAGAGTCACTGCCATGCCTGGCTTTATTTGAGATTAAGAATGAAGTTAGAAAGATGTAAAAGAGATTAAGAATGAAGTTAGAAGATGTAAAACTGATCTTTTCCAGATCAATGCTCATTTCCCTAGGTTATTAAATATGGACATAGCAGAGTGTTTTAGGACAGAGATGACAGAAAATGGCATCATAATCAGCTCATTTTCCTTAAAAGTAGCATCTTATGAAAAAAAAAATCCAAAAAACAAAAACTTTACCTAAGAGAATCAAAAGTCTGTCAACTTATCATGCATACACCTGGATAAGACTATACTTCGAAAAAGAAATTGTTTTACTCACATTCTTTTTTCTTAAACTGTCATGGATTTTAATTCTCTCATGTTCCTAAAAAATAATATTGTATACTTGAGTTAAAACACTTGCATTTACTCAAACCATCTCTCAAAGACAAGGATATGATGAAAACAATTTTTCTAAGATAATAATATTCACACACAAAATTCAATTCACTAGACAAATATTCGAGGACTTTATACTGGTAGGCACTGGGACCTAGGGTGAACAAGAGAGAAAGGTTCCACCTGCAAAAAATCAGACCCAACCCAGTGTCATGGCCTGCCAGTTGTGTGACCCTGGGAAAGCTATTTATCTCCCCTAAGCTGTTTCTTATTTGTAAAACAAATAACCATAACAACCTTTAAGGGTTGCTCTTTTTGGTAAAATGGAAGTAATAACCATTATCATCTCAAAGCGTGTGAAAAGTTTCCCTTATTTAAAATGATCTTATAAAGTGTTTGGCACATTATAACCACAACATTAGCTATCATTATTATTATTTTCATCCCCTTTGGAAAGTTCTTTTCAAGTTATTAGGTGTTGGGATTAAGCAGTTGAACTATTTAACTTTTGAAAACAGCTAATCATAAGGTTCCTTCTGGGCCGGGTGTGGTGGCTCATACCTGTAATCCTAGCTCTCTGGGAGGCTGAGGTGGGCAGATTGCTCAAGGTCAGGAGTTAGAAACCAGCCTGAGCAAGAGCAAGACCCTGTCTCCTATAAATAGAAAGAAATAAGGCAACCAAAAATATATAGAAAAAATTAGCCGGGCATGGTGGCGCATGCCTATAGTCCCAGCTACTCGGGAGGCTGAGGCAGCAGGATTGCTTGAGCCCAGGAATTTGAGGTTGCTGTGAGCTAGGCTGACGCCACGATACTCACTCTAGCCTAGGCAACAAAGCTAGGCTCAGTCTCAAAAAAAAAAGAGATTGTCAGACAGTGCAGACTTTATAAATAAAATATAATAGTTTATAGTTCTAAAAGCTTCCCCAGAGAACATTTTCCATCATTTACCCATATCCTTTTCCCAACACATTTTAATTCTTCAATATCTCTGACATACTAAGATCATGAGTATCTTCTGTGTTTTGATCACTTACCAGCAGGAAAGACAAACCTGGTAATTCAGTAGTAATCTATAATTACAGGTCCTGGACCAGGAATAAACTAGCTTCTGGGACTAGGAGTGCTGTGCTGGAGACGCAGGCAGAGAAAAGAGCTCTAATTCCATCTTAGATTCTGTCACAGAAACTGAATTTATGGGGTGGTAAGGGCCAGAGGAATTATTTGGGGCAATATTCCTTTGTATTTTATGGGCTCAGAAAAGTCATGCGATCACATCATTCTCCAAGGGTATAAAAGCAGGCTTGTGAGAGAACCTGTGCTTCCAAACAGGCCCACTGGGCTTTGAAATGCTTGATATTCCTTGGGGGCATGGTGGGAAAATGAAGAGCCTGCAGACTCCTGCCCAGGGCAAAGCCCAGCCTGTGGTTGATGAGAATAGTTCTACTTTAGATAGGGACTGCAGGAGACACTGATAATAACTACAGGCCTGACAGTTTGGTTACTTACTTGTCATGGCATGTTAATAATTAGAGGTAATGACTATTGTTGATAATTGTGTGAAAACATTATGGGAAGGCTCAATCTCTCAGCCTGTACTGTAATCAGGACCCTCTTGATCCCCCAATTGCAGACCCATATCCGGCAGCCCTGGCCCACTCGCACAAAGCATCCGGACCAGAGACCACTGGGCCTAGCTCCAAAGACTACATCGTAGTCGGGGTTTTTGCATCATTTCTCTCAATGCGTCTGTTCTTCCCAACCTGTGCTGGTCTAGATTTGCCGGGGTTGCTTGTTCCTTCCTGCTCTTCTTTGAGGGCCTCTAACTTTGGTCACTCTTCCTGGACTTGTAGACCTTGCTTGTTTTCCAAATGGTACAACCTGACACTTGACCTTCAGTATTTGCTAGATTTCTTCTGCTTCCTGGTACTGGCTTCTCTTAGCTAACACCTTTTCACGGCCCCAGGCTTAGGAAAATGTCACTACTGTACACATCTGGCTTAGATAGCTCATAATTATAAGTGATTTAAATGTACACTTAAAAGTCTGTGGTCAAAACAAAGACGCCCAACTAATATAGGTTCTCTGGTGAAAAATTTATATATATGTGGGTATGTGTGTGTACTTAAATACATAAATTTGTTTGACATTTATTTTTTTAAAAGCTGTGTGAGTTTTTAAAATTTAATTATACAATAGATTAGATTAATATATTGTCTCTTAAAAAGATAGAACATTACTCAAATGTTTATAGCAGCATTATTCATTATAGCCAATGAGTGGAAATGACCCAAATATCTATCAACTGGTAAATGGATAAACAAAATGTGGTATTATCCATATAATGAAATATTATTCTACCACAAAAAGGAATGAAGTATTGATTTAGGCTAAAATACAGCATAAAATATAGAACTTTGAAAACATTATGCTAAGTGAAGAAGCCAGATACAAAAGATTTATATGAAATGTTCAACAAAGGCAAATCCATTTAGACAGAAAGTAGTTCAGTGATTGTCAATGGTTGGAGAGGGGAAGGAATGTGGAATGCCTGCTAATCGGTGTAGGGTTTCTTTTGGGGGTGATGCAAATGTTCTGGAATTAGAGTGGTGATGGCCACACAACTTTGTGACTATATAAATCCCACTGAATCATACACTTACAAAGGGTGGATTTATGGTATTTGAATGATATCTCAATAAAAAAATGTATATCTGATTTAAAAAAAAAACCCACAGGTAAGGCATCCCTATTTCAGAGAGATAAAAATGTGGGGAAAAAAATAACTGCAGAACGAGCTTAAGTCCCCTATGATGACCATCTCCACTCCTGGTTTTCCTCTCTGCCATAATCGTGGGTATCAGCCTGATGTATGTGTGCCTAGTAGCTCAGATCTACAGCTTCATATCTGCTCTCTACCCTTACCCATCATGCCCTTTGCCCTTTGGGCCTGGGGTGGTAACTGCTCAGCTCTGGCTTGGCAGGGGAATGCACTGTCCCCAGTGGCTCCATTTACCCAGCCCTCCCCTTTGTGAATAAACCCTCCTTGAATTCTCCTAGATTGAGCATGCCACCTATCTTCTTTGGGACCCTGACTGACCCAGTATGTATCTTAGGCAAAGTTGTATTTTACTTAAATAAGAAAATATGGTTTATAACAAAATACCATAGAATAAAGAAAGAAAAAAAAATATGGTTTAATAATTGAAGGCAAAAGATAGTAAGTTATATGATTTGAATTATAATTTTGACTAGTCACCTCGAAGATCTCAAATGCTTTCCTAGACACAAACAGCAGATAGATATGCATGGTTGTGAATTTTAAACAAGGTCAGATTTTATTACTGCTCTAAATCTCAGTGCTCCTCCTAGGCAGCGGCAGACACCGACCTGTCGGTTTTCCGAATGATGTGGCAATCTGCTCATCACCGCGTCCAGCTCGTCAAGCTTCCTCAAGACAGCTTGAACTTCTGCAGACAGCTCCTTATACTCCGAAAACTGGTCTTGGAACACAGCTTTATAGCGTTCTCGTTCATCATCTGTATGAATCACAGGGTATTTTCTAAGGGAACAACATAAACCAAAGTTACCAACTTTTTCACTAAAAGAAGCTGAATGGGAAATCAGCTTATACCTCACTGATCACATTGTACCTTCAATTCCATATATTACTTCTCAGATAACAAACAACTGTTCACTTAATGATTTTAAACAGAGAGTATTAACTTAGGGACAAACAGGAAACTGAAAGGCCTACACGGGACCTCTCAACTTCTACCTAGAAGATTTCAGACCGGTACTCACGCAACATAGTCAGGCATCACGATAGGTTTGGGGATGTGGCCAGGTGGGATGTGTCCACTCAGGAGTTCGGGTTTCATTTTTGTTGTTCTCAATTCTCTGAAATTCATTTCTGGGTCCCTTTGTCTGTCACCACTGGTGGCCATTTCACACTGCAGTTAGGGAGAAAATGAGGATTTATTTAAAAATAGAGGTGGGGGGAACCCTGAATTTATTCTTAGAAGAAAATGGGGAGAAAAGAAGAAGAAAAGTGGAAAGAGCAATTAACATTTCACTTCAGAATTATATGTTTAATAGTCACAATGTTGTTCTGAATGTTTTTGTAACAGCTAAAGGGAATCGCCTTTGAGATATGGGAGTACATCATAGGTAAGACACACTTCAACCCACTTGTGTGTCAAAGGTGGATGATGCAATGCCAAACATGGGGTTTTTAGTGTTTACTTAGTTAGAATTTATACCTCAACTAACTGTAAAAGAATAAAAAATGTAATTCGAAATAAGAAATTCAGGGATAAAAATGGAACAAGTGAGGCCAGGTGCGGTGGCTCACGCCTGTAATCCTAGCACTCTGGGAGGCCGAGGTGGGCGGATTGCTCGAGGTCAGGAGTTCAAAACCAGCCTGAGCAAGAGCGAGACCCCGTCTCTACTATAAATAGAAAGAAATTAATTGGCCAACTAATATATATAGAAAAAATTAGCCGGGCATGGTGGCGCATGCCTGTAGTCCCAGCTACTCGGGAGGCTGAGGCAGTAGGATTGCTGAGCCCAGGAGTTTAAGGTTGCTGTGAGCTAGGCTGACGCCACGCACTCACGCTAGCCTGGGTAACAAAGCGAGACTCTGTCTCAAAAAAAAAAAAAAAAAAGAAAAGAAAAAGAAAAGAAAATGGAACAAGTGTACTTAAATGGAAAGAGAAAAAATGATACTGGGAAATTGAGATGAATCAATTATAAGCAGCCACTGTCACAGGTCAGAAAGAAAAGGGAAGCAAGCAAATTCATTTTCAGAAAGAAAACCTTCCTGATCATCAGTATTTTTATAGTATTTTTAAACATAAGGAGGATGTTGCTGCAACTGCAGAGGAAAGGCAGTGGTTGTCTTCAGCTGGCCCCAATGTTCTTAACCTGTGATCCCCTGAAAAGGGTTAAGAGAATCCTAGATGCACATGGTGGTTTAAGTCACCCTGATTCTTAAACTGCAGAGCTCTTAGAGGCCTTTTTAGTAAAAAATTATGTGTTCCAAAGAGGGGAAGAGGCCTGCTACAGTGGCTCACACCTGTAATCCCAGCACTTTGGGAGGCTGAGGCAGGAGGATCGCTTCAGCCCAGGAGTAGGGGTTGCAGTGAACTGTGATGACGCCACTGCACTCTAGCCTGGGCAACAGAACAAGGGTCTGTCTCAGAAAAAAAAAAAAAAAAAAAAAAAGAGTGAAAATAGCAGGCAGAAGGGAAGACCCAGTAGAATCCACTCTAGAATGGGCAGGCAAAGATGGATACTCAGCTTTGGGGCTAGAAAAAGACTGTTCAGGGACTCCTTTGGACAGTGCCCGGAACATGGTGAGGTTGGTGGATGACAGAAGAAAGATTTCCTTTTTATAAAGAAATGAGGTTCAAGGCTGGGCGAGGTGGCTCACGCCTGTAATCCTAGCACTCTGGGAGGCCGAGGTGGGTGGATTGCTCGAAACCAGCCTGAGCAAGAGAGAGACCCCGTCTCCTACTATAAATAGAAAGAAATTAGCCAAACAACTAAAAAAATAGAAAAAATTAGCCGGGCGCGGTGGGTGGCACATGCCTGTAGTCCCAGCTACTCGGGAGGCTGAGGCAGGAGGATCGCTTGAGCCCAGGAGATTGAGGTTGCTGTGAGCTGGGCTGACGCCATGGCACTCACTCTAGCCTGGGCAACAAAGTGAGACTCTGTCTCAAAAAAATAAAAGAAAAAAGAAATGAGGTTCAGAGAAATCAAGTAAATTCTCCAAGCTCACACAGCTATTTAGTGGAAAAGCCATGATTAGAACCCAGAACTATTTGGTTCAGTGATACTTAAATGAATCACATGAGGAAATCTATTTATTTAAATGTACCCTGTTCATATCCCAAAGTTCCCTGAAGTTCTAGTAGCACACTAGAAATGAGTTTGTGATGAAGAGGACAGGTAATGCCATACTGCCAGGGGAAAGAAAGATCATACTTGGGAACAGGATTCTTCTTTGGAGCAGTACCCTCCCCCATCCCCCACCCTTTCAGCCTTCAAGAACGGCTTACTGAACTAAATTGAGAATGGCTTGGGAGGGCGACCAACTTCATTGCAAACAAAAGACAAAACAGGATTTTAAAACCTTGCTTTTTATTTTGCCAGGCAGCTTTTACAATTGTTTCCTGATTTCCCTTCTCTGAGGCTGGCTTTGAGGTTTGGTTTAACATTAGCTCATTCTTAAAAACCACTAAGTCTTAACCAAACAGCACACTACTCAGAATGGATTAGACATGTCAGCTGCTAACCCGCTCTAGGGGAAAGTTATAAAAAGGAAAAGCTCTGCAGCCATGGCTCTAGGTGGAAGGGAAACTAGATCACCTAGACATAGGAAACATGGCTCACCACAGTTGGGTGGTGAAAAAATTTAAGTAGGGGACAGAATACCCTGAGAAAATGAGATTAAGCAAAGATATTTTAGTGAATGCATTAATTAATTCATTCATTTATTTAGAGAATAAATAAATGTGTGCACCACCACACCTGGCTAATTTTTAAATTTTTTTTATAGAGACAGGGTCTTTTTATGTTGCTGAGGCTGGTCTCAAACTCCCCAAGCCATCCTCCCACCTCGGGCCTCCCAAAGTGCGGGGATTACAGGCGTGAGCCACTGCAGCTGTCTGGGAACACATTTTGAGGTTAGTATTCATCCTGTTGTGTTTCTCTACTGGTTAAGATGTCATTTTCTGGCCAGGCGCAATGGCTCACGCCTGTAATCCTAGCACTCTGGGAGGCCGAGGCAGGAGGATCGCTGGAGGTCAGGAGTTCGAAACCTGCCTGAGCAAGAGCGAGACCCCGTCTCTACTAAAGTGAGACTCTGTCTCAAAAAAAAAAAAAAGATGTCATTTTTCATCCTGATGAATTCTTGTATGGTTAATCTTGAAAATGGATAATGGTATTAAACATTAGGGAAACTTTTTTGGCTTAAATAAATGGATTTCTATTTCATGGCCTCTGTCCGTCTTTAGCTTCTAAATATTTAATAATCCAGTTCTCACGTGGCTGGCTGAGGAAGCTGCTATGGAGCCTGTTGATCCTCCAGATCTCAGTAGCAGCACCAGGCATCGCTCTCAGATTTCCTGGCCAAAGTCATGAATTCTGCCCAGGTAGTCACTTTGGGCAAGAGAGTCCATAATTAATTTTTTTCTAGGTAAAATTTTTTCAAGCAGGAACTATTTATTTTCCTTACTTCCCCATCCCTAATTCTAAAATCTACCTTTTAATATAAACAGGGAGTTTTAAGAAATCATAGCATTTCCATGCAGACTATTTCACCTGCTTTCAATTTTTTTTATTTTTATGATCTTAACATTTTCATCCACTTTTTTTTGGATAAACCTCCCTGACCATCAGTTTGGAAAACTCTTTTGGGAAGAAATCTAAAACTAGACATGAGACAAAGAATTAAAACCTCTTCAGGCTTTTGTGGGAAGGATGCATTGGGCTCCAGCCCTGTGACAGAACACTCTTAAACAGTGCTCTTGATTATAAACACATCAGAGGAGGGGGAGGGAAAGGGCCCAAAGCTGCAGATTTAATATGACCTTTCTTGGTTCTGGCCAAAACTAGTTTTTTGTCACTAAATATCAGGAATGGTTTGCTGTGACACAAAAGAAAGTAACTAAGCAATGGGATATGTTTTTTTTGTTTGTTTGTTTGTTTTTTTTGAGATAGAGTCTTACTCTGTTGCCTGGGCTTGAGTGCCGTGGCATCAGCCTAGCTCACAGCAACCTCAAACTCCTGGGCTCAAGTGATCCTCCTCCCTCAGCCTCCCAAGTAGCTGAGACTACAGGCATCCACCACCACACCCAGCTAATTTTTCTATTTTTAGTAGAGATGGGGTCTTGCTCTTGCTCAGGCTGGTCTCAAACTCTCAACCTCCAGCAACCCTCCCCCCTCGGCCTCAGCCTCCCAGAGTGCTAAGATTACAGGTGTGAGCTACTGTGCCTGGCCAGGATAAGTAATGTTATGGCTATAATTGTTAAACTTTGTAAATTAAAAATGGGCTAAATGAATATCCTGTCAAGATAGAAATAGGGAAAGCTAAATGTATTTCAGTGTGCATCTGTTCAATTCTTGATCCTCTCTTCCTTTGAGTGTATAACGTAATGATGCACATACCCCTAACCCCAAACTTAGACCATCACCTTCGATGCCGGATTAGAGTTTGGCTTTTCTAACTTGAAAAAGAAACTGCTTAGCACTTAGGGTTTTATCAGAATTTGTTGCTGTCTCTATGTGAGCTTATTTTATGTCTGTATATTCCTTCTTTTTAAAATGATTTTACTTGCTTCTTAAATATTGTATTCATTAAAATATGAAACAAGGAGAGATAGCCTAATATATAGACCAAACAAGGGATAGGAAACTGAAGTTCAGAGCAGGAAATAATTTCCCCAGCATCACAGAGCTAGTAAGTAGCTGATCTAGTACTCAAATTCAGATGTGTCTGATTCTAAAGTCCTCCTCCCACACTGCATTGCCTTTCCTGTGCTAGTCTGCCAGTTCTTCCCTCCTATGAACTAGGAAGGAAGCAAGTACACATCATACCCAGTGAAAAGCTGGAAGTCCCAAGCTTTTCTCTCAGGTTCCTCATTGATAAATCCAGCAGAGATTCCCTGATTAAATCATGGGATTCCCTTTTACAGAGAGGTCTGCTTCTAGGATATATCTAAATATGTTGATCCACAGTGATTCACGTCTGGGAAGAGGCCTTTAAAAGGATGCTGTTTGGTTTCAGCTCCCAGATCTTGAAAGAGTAGGAAAAGTTAACTGGGCTGATATGATATCCAAAGGAGTTCTAGCAATGGGAGTTCCCACATCTGCTAAGGTTATTCCTGACTATTCCAGGACCTCTTAGGATGTGGGACTCTGCGACACACCCTGGACATTCTAGGAACCAACCTTCTAGGGTTGTCTGAAGTTCTACACAGGCAGATCTTCCTAATCTTGTCCCACCTGTGGAGGCTGCTTCAGGTACTTTCTTACAAACAATGACACTGACTACCCTGTCATTTGAGGCAATTTCCTCCAATTTATCCTAGCCTTTCAGGTTGACTCTACTCTGTATTTAACCACTTCGGTACAGGCCGGGCTCACCGGCCGGGAAACCTTGCCCATAGCCGGCACTCACAGTCCGCACGATAGTTTGTGCTGTGCATTGACGACGAATCCGGTTTGCTCTTGTGTGATGAGGAAAGCTTTAAAGTACTGAAAGCTTGTTTTACCTTTCAGGCAGCTTTACTTGTAATGTAAATCAGAATAGGTAACATATACACATATGTTTTCATTACGTTATTTTTAAATGTTCATAATTTTATTTTGATACACGAAAAATTAGAAAAGTCATATCACGGCTGTCGGCTAAAGTCGCTGTGCGTGTTCATCTGTGGCTGTCGACTACAGTCGACGCTTGGCTGTGCGTGTTCATCTGTGGCTAGGCTATCGACTTATAGTGGTTGCTCTTACCGAAGTGGTTAAATCCCATTGGTAAATCCCACCTCAGAGGGACCAACCAGGAAGCCCATCGATCCTACTCTGGACAAAAACGACCCACACTGTCACATCATTGACACATTATAGCCCAGTGAGGCAGTGCTGTCCAGCCTAGTGCTGAGCAATCAACATCTACAAAGTGTACAGCTTTAGCCCCCCAAAGCAATAGATAGATTCTTCTCTCCTGCCCCTTAGGATATTTGAAATACACTTTCTAATGTCAGTACTCTGCCTGACTAACTCTGATATCAGATTTTGACATCATCTGTTAACAAGAGTGTCAGCTGGTTGAGCATGGTGGCTCACGCCTGTAATCCCAGCACTCTGCGAGGCTGAGGCAGGAGGATCACTTGAGCCCAGGAGTTTGAGATTGCAGTGAGCTATGATGATGTACTGCATTCTAGCTCAGGTGACAGTGAGACTCTGTCTCAAAAGAAAAAGAAAAAAAAAGGAAAAAAAGAAGAGGAGAGCAAATATATGTGTGTGTGTATACATGTGTGTATATACATGTAAAATATACATTTATGAAAGAAAACACAAGATACTGTTATCATAGGTCCCTCCAGGCAGGGGAACTGAGAAGCTGGGGTATAGAACTGGGACGATTTTCTATGAGAGACCTTTTTGAATTTTGAACTAAGTGAATATATTCTGTATTCAAAGAAAGAAACCAATCCAAAAGTTTGATTTTCAGCTTATCACTTAGAAATAATGTCTACTATCTTAAAAAAGAAAATTTCAATGAGGATAAAATTGTGATTATTAAAATATATTAAATTATTACATATATAAATAATTATAATAACAGCATCTCATTGAATCCTCTCAGCAATTTATGAAGTAGGAATTATTATTATTATAGTTTTACAGATGAAGAAATGAAGGCATGGAAAGATTAAATAACTTGGTTCCTGTCACAAATTAGCTACTGCCACACAGCTAGCAAATTGTGGAATAGGAATTCTCTGCCACTACAAAATTTGGCATCTGAAAGTATGGTGAGAAGGATAGAAAAGAATAGCAAAGAACTTTAAAGAGAAATGAAAAAAGTTTGCATAAACTTGCACCTAACAAAATTAAAAGGAGTTATAGATAGGATTAATTGGTCCTTTTAGTATTACAAAAAAGCTGAAAATGCTAACATGAACTCAATGTAATAGCTACACTTTTGTCAATGGCTAATTCTACTATGTAGATAAATAGACATAAAAGTATTTAGCAAATCTAGAGCTAAAATATAATGTGAAGTAAATTTTATTCTTACCATTTTCCTTTTCGATGACAATGATGCCTCATTTATCTGGGAAAAAAAAAAGAGTTAAAACAATTTTTCAACGGCATATGAAGCTACTTTGCAAATATTTTCATCCATTTGCATTCACCGATCAATCTCAATTTTACAAAGGTTGATTCTCTACTTTTTGCCAGATGTTCCTCCTACTTTTTGCCTAGGTTTTCATGGGCCAGTGGTGAACCAGAGGGGTAGTGATTAACTAATTCCCTACCAATTAGGAGCATAAAGAGAAGTTGGAAATACAGGGATGTCGGAGACTATTAGGTAAGGTACTTTGAATTACCTAGAAATTTTATTTATTCCTGGCTTCCATTACCTTATATGATTGAAAAGTTAGGACAGTCACCCCATAAAATTAATGAAAAAAAGCCATAGCCATTACATCTTCTAACCTTTAGGAAGTTATAGCAACACACAGACAGGCACAACCTCCAATATTAGAAGTGACTCGAGTCTAAACAAACATTATGAAAAGTCTTATAGAAACAAATTTTCGTTGAGAAAGGAAAAAGAAATAAAAGGGTTATGTTGATAATTTTAATCACATTCATGTAGAATTTTGAAATGTTAAGATTTAATAACTGTTATAAAACTAGCATAAAATTATGAGGAAGTCTTGAGTTTCACTATCTGCCTTTCATATTGATTAGAATTTAAAATTCTTTACTTTGTACACATAGATGTAAATTTAAGAAATATGCTTAAAATCCTGAGAAAAATTTTTAGAAATAGCTTGAATGTATGTAGAGTTCTAGTAAGATAAATGTATTTTGTGACAATAGAGTATAGGTCACATTGAAACATGTTGAGGTTCTTTGACACATAGGTACTTATGATATGTATCAGATTCATGCAAAAGATTAAAAGTAAAATATCTATATCAGTGTGTGCTATTCTAAGGATAGGATTCAATTTTTATTTATAGTTTTGCCCAATATCTACAAGATGTACTTTGTATAGCATCTAATAAATCCTGGGAAAAATGGGAAAGGAAAAATTCATAATACAGTTAACTTCAAATTAAGAAAACATTGAAGATAAATATTGACATTTTCAGTGTTATTAAGAGATTCTGTTACACACATCTCCTTAGAAGAAATAAGTAAAACATTAATTTAGTTTAGGGTATAATGAAGCTAGCAGAACATACCCTAACCTTTTGCTCCTGTTTGATGAAAATAATTTTAAATAGGACTTTTACATAATCCTATCCTTTAGGTATTATTAGTATTCTCATTTTATTCTCTTTATTCTTCTTATTATAATATTTAATTAGTTAAATCCTAGAAATATAAAAAAACGTTCAGGGCTGCCATTCTAACTATAGAACACACCTCTCTAAAATAAGGACAAAACATCAAAACCACTGGGTAAATTTTCACCAATGAAAATGGTGAGTATGGTCATTACAATACATATTCAATACTTAAAAAAAAAATCAAACATAGTTCACCATATTCTTATTTGCTTTATATAACTCACTGGAAAAAAGTAAATCATAACATTTAAATGAGCATTTTCTTCCTGTAACTGAAAAATTATGAATTTTTACTGCTTTACCATATTAAAGAATCAAGATTGGCAAGATTGGCAAATTTACTTTAATGATAAGACACTTATTTTACTGAGTATTCTTTTTTTTACAGAAATTCAGTAGCTATGTTTTTTTCTTAAGCACCAGACAGGCAAAACAGTGCAGCCAACAAACTTTATGTTACATATCTGGTGTCTACTTGCAAGGTATAATAATACAACAATGAAACACTGGAGTGGATTATCTCAGTTCTGGTTCAGTGAGCTAGAACTTTTGAACCTCAGATCATGAAGAAACTTAAATACTCCTTCGAAAGTTTTCTGTTTCGAGGACTATACATTTTTAACAAGGGAACAGAGGAAAAAAGTGAAAAACAAATGAAGGATTGTGAGATCACTTACCTCCTGTTGTTCCATATATTCTCTCTGTCTCCGAGCTGCCTCGTGCCTCCATAACTTTAGGCAAACCAAAGCACTAATGAGATAAACTATCATGGTGACAAACAGGAAGATCATTGCAGCTATCTGTCCTCCTTCTACCCTGCAGAACATTGCATTCACTGGCGTATTAAATAATGGATAGTAGCAGAGTCCACCTCGGTTGGTATCGTTCACATAGACTATGGCTGCAGCCATATACAAGATAAACAAGGCAACATTAATTCCAAATTCAGTTAGGGGCCACCAGTTGGAGTCCAGAAGAATAGTCCGGTAATACATGGACATGCCAAGAACCAGAATAATAATGGTGGTGATCCAAGCTAATCCGGCAGCCACGAGCACAAAAGGGGTCTTGGGGCCACTGTAGTAGTAGCCCCCATACATACTGCCCAGGCTACCAACACCTCCCACGCCGTAGGGCTGTGAATATCCAAACAAGTTGTACCACTCGCTGTCCTTGTGAATGTAGGCCGTGACACAAGCGAAGACACCGGCCCCCAAAAGCAGCTCCACCACGCCCAGGATTCTCAGCAGGCCTGGCCAGGACTTCATGTAGGAATACCTCAGGTTGTACTCCTCCACCTTCTCACTGTATGTTCGAGCTGTTTGTGTGTGTCGGCCTAGAGATCCAGAGGGGTCGTGGGGAAACATGGCATCAGTCTCCTTCTGGGAATTAAAGGTTCCTTCCGACCCTCCTCCGTGGGGATCCTTGCAGGAGTTGGGGGGCGAGTGGTGGTTCAGTTTCGCAGGCGAGGCTGGCGGCGAACACTCCACTCCATCGGAGATGTACCTGATATCAGACACCGGCTTATCCCATTCCGGGTCCTTTTTCTTCCCCCTGAAGAAGTTCTTCCAGGAGTCGGGGACAAAGCGCCTTACCGGTTTGAGATCCGGCGCTACGGCTGGCTCCTCCGTGTCACTTGAGTAGAAGTCCGGGCCGAACGGTGGCTGTAACGGGAGAGGCGGTGGCGGTAAAGGATCAGCGCTCAGGGCCAGCTCACTGTCGTGGAGAGTCTGGAGGCTTCTTATGGTGCCATCTTGGTAGGGCAATTCGCCCGGAACCTCGTCGTAGTGCCTGTCCCGATTCCTGGATCTTCCATCACTTGAAGACATTGGTGATTTTCGAACCTGTGGCCAAGTTTAAAGTTATCACTTACGCTTTTTTTTTTTTCTTTTCAATGATGCTGATTTTATTTATTTAGTAGCAAAAAGTATTCAGGAGACCAATATGATCACGTCTAATTATTATGATATACAAGAATAACATAAATGTGTATATGTGTATTTTTTAGATATTTGAAATATTTTATTCTGATTCCAAATGAAAAGGAATGGGAAAGATAAATATATTTTAAACATATTGATTTTGAATATTACCCAGGGATATAGTCATCATTCTATGACATTTTATTTTTTATTTAAAAAAAATTTTAAACTAATCCCATAGGGATTGGGGTGGAGGGGTGAAAAAAAATTTTTTTAAATAAAATAAAAAGTAAACTAATTCCATAATAGATTACATGTCACTTCAAGTGCAACAAAAATTTTAAATCTTAGTTACAAATTTTACATATGAAAACGTTTATGAGTCTAATTTATCTGTGAGACTTTTAAACAACAAAATGTAGAAAACAAAAATGACAAACCTTTAACATAACAGAATGCTAACATACTTCCAAGTAGAGTCCTTTCCTCAAACATCTAAGTCAAAATATTTAAGAGTATGAGTATACCACAATTTGATGGGTCAGCAAATACTCTCTTTATTAACTCACATCTGGTTTGGAATAGCCTAGGAGAAGCAGTCAGTTAAAATATAGGGAGTGGAGAGTCCCTTCCCTTCCTAAAACAACAAAGTCTATTTAGAGGACTTGCTTCTTCCACTCTAAAAATATTAACAATTGATATTGGATTTAAAAAACTGAATTCTCAGAGATAAAAATCACTGAAGCCTAAGGTTTCCCCAAGGGACAACACCAAATTGTAGCAATGACCATATCATTCTTTCTAGAGCAATTATCTAAAAGTGATTTACTGTCACCTCGAAGAGACTAAAGCATCTTGCCAGGCATTCAATCCACCTCAAAAATAAGCCAGGCAAGGTGGTATACACCTGTAGTCCCAGCTACTCAGGAGGCTTAGATGGGAGGATCCCTTGAGCCCAGGTATTTGAGGCCATCTTGAGCAACATAGCAAGACCCATCTCAAAAAAAAAAAAAAAAAAGCATAGAAAAAGCACTTCACTATCTATGCCTGTTGATTCCTTTTATGAAATCAATGACCTGGACACATATGCAAAAAAGGGGAAATCATTTGCTAATGTAACTACTAGGTTTAAGGTACACTGAATGTCTCCTAAACTACTAGGTTTAAGGTACACTTAAGGTACACTGAAGGTACACTGTTTATGGGTGAGTGTTTATTGAAAACTTAAACTAGGCATATGGTATTGTACTTGACACTATGAAGTTTTCAAAATTAAAATGGATAGCACCATCTTTATGGGTTGAACAATTTGGAAATTCCTAAGGCTTTTTTTTTTATGATGCCAATTTTAAATACAGTTTTATTTAAGACATTTATTTAAGACATTTCCACTTACAATACAGTGCTTATAATGTGCAATGTTATTTCCTTCCCCGGCTTTGTTTTATTTTACCTTTGGAAAATGGAGACCTATCATTCAAGAAATATTTCCTAAGCATCTGCCTTGCACCAGGCATGCTGTAAGGTATACTGGTGAACAAAGCAGACTAAATCCTTGGCTTCATGGAGCTTTGATTCTAGTGGGGGTGGAGGTGGGGGTCACAGATGATAGGTAAGTGAAACATTTAATATGCTAAGGAATGAAGTTAAGAAAGCAGGTAAAGAGTGCATTGTGGGCACCGTGCTACAGTTCTAAGTAGCGTGGCCAGGGAAGTCCCCACAGAGAACGTGACATCTGAATAGAAAACTGAAGGTGAAGGAGGAAGGCAGGCAGTTATTAGGGAGAAGAGTGTTCCCGGCAGACTGAACGAACAGCTAGTGCAAAAGCCCTGAGGCAAGAGTACCTGGCATGTTCAAGAAATATTAAGGCATGGAGGCTAATGTGGTAGCAGAAAAGTGAGTGAAAAGGTGAGTAGTAGACCTGAGGTCATCTGAATCATGTAGGGCCTTAAAAACCACTGGATAGGACTTTGGTTTTTACTGGGAGACGAGAAGCCAATGGAGGATTCAGAGTAGAGGAATGACATGATTTGACTTATTTTAACAGGATGGATGCTATGTTGAGAGTACACTCCAGAATGGATCCAGGGACACTGGCTAGGAGGAGGCCACTGAAATAATCCAATGGACCATGGAGATCTTGAGAACAGGTCAAATTCTAGATAGAGAGTATTTAAATTTTGTGTTACGGAAATTTTCAAACATAAAAAGTGGGTAGAATAGTATTACATACCCTTGTCTACTGATTAACCAGCTTCTACAATTGTCAATTTATGGCTGTTCTTGTGATGGCCCAGCATCGTGCCCAATGCAAAGCAGGAACTCTATACATTATTACAGTTACAGCAATCAGTTATTTTTGTACCTTTACCTTTTTCTAAAGTTCTAGAAATGCATAGTACTACCATAATTTCTGAAACTCATTCCTAAGAAATGTAGAAGCAAAAATACAACAAATAACTTCAGCAAGTTTTACATATCTCTCAATATCTACGATACACATGCATTTATAGGATACTCTACTGCTTACTTTAAATCACTGGTAAAAGTGTGATTCACTGTAATAAATTTAAGTCATCCTCACCTGTGAAAAGTGGCTTATTTGAATGAGATCACTTGATCAATCTTTAAATAAAAAGCAAGAAATTATAAGTTTCAGTTGTGGAATAGCAAGATATGTAATTTTAGAAGGAAATGGTAAGCTATATTTTATCACATCTTAGATATCTGGATACCCCTAAATGCCTTTCAAGATGTCACCGAGCGTCCACTCAGGTCCAGCACGCTGAGGTACAGTGGCTCTCAGCTTTGTTCAAGCCTCGGACCCTGACTGCATTCTGTCGGAACACTTATCTCAGAAAGCCATAGCGGTGGCAGAAATGGTTCCTCCCAGCCAAGTGTCACAGGAACCACGTCTGGTCACCTTTACACAAACAGAATCTCCGCTTTAGCCGCCTTTAAAGTTTTGCTGGCCCCAAGAAAGGGGCAGACTTCAAATACTTCTGGTCTTCCGAGGGGTCGGGAAAGCCGCTGGGGGATTTCGCACACGACTGCCAGGGGATAGCGAGCATCTTCGCTGGGGTCCCCCGCGCCAGCCTCTGGACGCCCAGTCCCACAGCTCTCGGGCTGCCCCTGCTCTGCCCACTCCGCGCGAGCGTCCCGTCTTCCCGTTTCTGACCGAAACTCCACTCGGTCTTCAGAGATTCCGCCCCAAAGAGGCCGGAACTAAGTTGCAGGGACCTCCCAGGTGAGGAGAACCTGGATGGCCGCGAGGGCGCGGTCCCGCCCCGCGCCCGGAAGGACAGCCGCTCGGCTGCACCTGCGCCCGCTGAATGGAACCCTTCGGGGCGAGGGCCCTCCCCGCGCCCCACTCTCAGCGCGCAGCGCCCCGCAGGCCTGCGTGGCTCCGGCCGCCGCCGCCCAGGGTCCTGGCGGGCACGGGCCGGCCGAGGGAGCTCCACCTACCCCACGGGGCCCGCGAGAGGCCGAGGGCGCCCCCCCTCCCCACCCCCTGCACCTGTGCACACTTGGGCCGGGGGCAGCCAGGCCCTCCCCGCCCGCGTCCCGTCCCCTGGCCCCACCCCTGCGGCCCCACTCACCTGCGCGGCCGCTGGGAAGAGCGCGCACACCGCCCGGGGCTCTGAAACCGGGATCGGGCTCCTGGGGCGGGGCCCGGGCGGGCTGAGCCAAGCTCTGCCCCGCCCGGCTTTGTCAGGCCCTACTCCAGCTCAGCGCCCGGGCTATTCCGTATCCCCCCAACAGGCTCCTCGCAGCAGTGGTTATACCCCGCGCTCCTTTGGTAAGGTTCTCATAGCAAGATTGCCATCCACTTTCTTCCCTATCTTTTGAAAACTCTGACACTGGATGAAGGAGATTCGTGTACTATGCCTAACGACACATGGCAGACAGTGCATGTTGGGCAATGGTAAAAGACAGGAGAAACAATGAAATTCAACATTTTAATTTTGATATAAATTATGTAAATACTTTCCAAAAAGTATCTAAGATATGCCACTGTACAACATATAAAAATGGTATCTGAGAAGCTAGAGACGATAAGCTGTAAATAAGGCACCACGTTTATTTACACTCATAATTGCATCCTAAACTGTTTTATAATTCATATTTACAACCCCCCCATAAAGTTTCTGTATTTTGGATTAGTCCTTCACATTTTCTGATATTTGGTATAATGTTCAAAACACACTTCATACACTTCCTCCTCTCAAACCACTCACAAGATAAATAAATACTATAGAAACAAATTAGATTACTTGAAGGCTTAATCTTCTATTTACTTCAAGGTAAGAGTCAGTTCCTTGTGACGAAATACTACAGGAGTGAAGAATTCACAAATTGTAATTCGGAAAAGTGTATTAACTCTGTTCAAGTACTACTGAATAAAACTAAAATGAATCTGTGAAGTAGCAATCTTATTAACAGGCTGTTATGTCCCATCACTCTCATAGTCTTCTATTATTATGTCTTCTTCTTCTTCTATGTCTCCTTGGGATGAAAAGGGCTGAGGTTGGCTGGCAGGCAGTTCACTCCCACTATTCTGACTCAAAGAAAGAGACCAGGTTTCAGGTTCAGAGCATTGAGTGGGTTCACCCAGAGCTTCCTCTGCAGGCTGTCCTCCATCAAGCTGGGCTTCATCTCCACTGTCAGTGCCTAACATTCCATGTTCCCTGTCAGTCAGGGCTTCCATTTTCAATCTGTCAAATTCACAGTACATTGATTCAAGAAGGTTAGATAAAATAGAAAGAAAAATAAAATAATTTTTAATTAAAAAAAAAAGATTCACAGTACAGACATCAAAAACAACCAAAGTTCCTTCACAGTACTTATAAAAAAAAGAGAAAAATAGAAAAAATAAAATAAAAACCAAAGGAAGAGATCCCTTTACACATTCCATTATGCAATGACTGTGATGATTATGAAGCCATCTTCTCTAGTCTTTCATTTACCTTTGTTGTGCTGTTTAGCCAGTTCCTTTAACTATATATAAACAAAACTACAAGGTAAATGACAAATTGTGAATAAATCCTTATAATTTGCAATACAAAAAGGGTTAGTCTTCAGTAAAGAATTTTTACAAATTAAAAAGATTAAATATAAAAATGGGTACAAAACAAGGACTTACAAAAAATATAAATGGTTACTAAATAAATTCTTCAACCTAACTTTTAATTTTAAAAATGGAAATTAAGGCTGGGCACGGTGGTTCACGCCTGTAATCCTAGCTCTCTGGGAGGCCGAGGTGGGAGGATCACTTGAACTCAGGAGTTCGAGACCAGCCTGAGCAAGAGCGAGACCCTGTCTCTACTAAAAATACAAAGAAATTAATTGGCCAACTAAAAATACATAGAAAAAATTAGCCGGGCATGGTGGCACACGCCTGTAGTCCCAGCTACTCAGGAGGTTGAGGCAGGAGGATTGCTTGAGCCCAGGAGTTTGAGGTTGCTGTGAGCTAGGCTGACAGGACTCACTCTAGCCTGGGCAACAAAGCCAGATGCTGTCTCAAAAAAAAAAGGAAATTAAAATAATAAGCTATGATTGTCATTTTCCAAACTGGCAAAGAAACTTTTAAAATAGTAAAACTCAGTGGCAGCAACGGTTAGGAGAAAAGAACATACTGATACATTGTAAGTGGATATAAAATTGGCAAAATATTCTTGCAATAAAGAGGAAAAGCCTCAAAAAGTATATGCCTATTGATCCAGCAATTTCATTCTAGGAATTCATCCTAAGTAAATAGTATTTGATGTGCTACAAGGCTGGAAGAGTAAAAGCTGAAAAGAAGCTAAATGTATAAAAATAAGGTGCAGGTTGAATTATAGGTAACCATGTAGCCATTAAATATTAAGTTAAAAATAAACATTTAATAAATACTAAATATTACTAACATGAACCAAAGATCATGTTAAATATGGCCAGGCGCAGTGCCTCACACCTATAATCCTAGCACTTGGGAGGACAAAGTGGGAGGATCCCTTGAGGCCCTGCATTTGACACCAGCCTGAGTAACATATTGAGACCCCATCTCTTTAAAAAAATAAATAAATAAAAATCAGCCAGGGCGTAGTGCCATTTGCCTGTAGTCCCCATTACTGAGGAGGCTGAGGCAAGAGGACTGTTTAAGTCCAGGAGTTTGAGGTTGCAGTGAGCTATGATGATGCCACTGCACTCTAGTCTGGGCAACAGAGTGAGACCCTGTCTCAACAACAACAAACATGTTAAATATGCTCAATAGTCAACATTAATCAAAGATTAATGACAGTACTAGTACTATAATATACAGCACTGGCAAAAATATGGCCTCCCAAGTCTCCCAAGTCAGGTCAAGTAGTTGAACCAACAATAAAACAGTGAAGACTCTCATTCATTTAATTATATCTGAGGAGGAAAAAGACAAGAGAAGATAATTGTCCTTCCTTTATTTTGATGTAATAATCTTGGAAGGGAAAAGAGCTAGCAAAGAGAGCTAGTCTTGCTTTGATTCAGAGAGATGTGAGAGGAAAAGTAAGGTTTATAAAAGGGCTAAAGATCACATCCCAGTGGGATGCTGCTTCAAGGTCCATCCATCATAGTCTTTCAGTGACAGGAAAGATCGCTCCACATAGCTAAGCCACTACCCAAAGTAAACCATTAACACTACAAAGGTCTTATTGAATCTATGAGGACAGAGGGGGGAAAGGCCAGAACACAAGAGTTTCTCATTTGGGACCAGGAATAGGAGAAAAGGTAGGACAGGTAATAGATGCCATTTCTATCATTTACTTTTGTCCATGTGTCCAGTAACCAAGCCTTTTTAAAACCTTTTAAAAATGCCTGAGTGCTTGATTCAACCTCACAAATGAGCTAAGTTAAATTGAAGTATAGACTTTGTATTAGTCACTGGTATTGGCCCAGAAGCTATTTTCCAATTAAATGAACAATATAGATATCTCTTATTTTTTTAATCTGAATTTTCCAAAATAAGAAAATATAAAGAATACTGCTACTTTTGAGGCAGTCCCTGGTCATTGCAAGTCTTCAAGCATAGACTAAGAATACCTCTTGGCAGGAAAGCTGAAAAGGTGTTTATAGACATGCAAGATTTGTTGAACTGGAGGATTTTAAAGATTCCTCTGTCTGTGTGATTCCATGATTCTATTTAGTCTGCTATATTCCATTGGGAGTATGTGAAATATGCTGTTATATTTAATAAAATGAAGGGTCTGCAATACAATTATATGGGTTTTAATCACTAGGTACAATATTTATTTCTTGGGTTTTACAAATAACATTTATTAATTTATGTTGAACATATTCAGTGGACATTTCAGTGACAACTCTTTGGAAATTAAGATGATCAGCTTACCTTCCAAAGTGTCGCTTCAGAGGAAGCCTTCCAATATCTTGGATAAAAGAAATCTGAGCTGAAAACAGATTTAAAAAAAGTTTTAAATAATTTTCCAAAGAAAATCTACAAATGGACAGTAAGTCCATGAAAAGATGCATCACTAATCTTTAAGGAAATGCAAAGCTAAGCTACAGTGAGATTTCACATCTATTAGAATAACTTTTATCAACAAACAAAACAACAAGTGTTGGCAAAGATGTGGAGAAATTGGAACCTTTTGCATTGCTGATGGGAATATAAAACATTGTAGCCATCGTGGAAAATAGTATGGCAGGTCTTCAAAAAATTGATAGTAGTATTATTAGCTGGAAGTGGTGGCTCACACCTGTATTTCCAGCTACTTGGGAGGCAGAAGCCAGAGAACCATCTGAGCTCAGGAGTTTGACTAGCCTGGGCAACATAGTGAGACCCCATCTGAAAAAAAAAATTATTATATGCTCCAACAATTCCACTTAAGGGTATATACCCAAAAGAATTAAAAGCAGGGTCTCAAAGAGATTATCTGTATATCCATGTTCATAGCAGCATTATTCATAATAGTGAAAAGGTAGAAGCAATCCAAGTGTCAATTAAGAGATGAATGGATAACTAAAATGTGGTGTATAATACAATGGAATATTACTCCACTTAAAAAAAGGTAATTCTGACACATGCTACAAAACAGATGAACCTTGATGACATTATGCAAAGTGAAATAAACCACTCACAAAAGAACAAATATTGTATCATTCCACTTAGATGAAGTACCTAGAGTAGTCAAATTTACACAGACAGAAAGTAGAATGGTGGAGGTGGTGGACATGGGGAGTTAATGTTTAACAGTTACAGAGTTTCAGTTTTGAGATATGAAAAAGTTCTGGAAGCTAGCTGCAGAACAAGGTGAATATACTTAAAAACAACTGCACTGTAGCCTTAAAAATTGTTAAGATGATAAATTTTATGTTATGTATAGCTTACCACAATTCAATCCTCAAAAAGAAAAAGAATGACAGAAGACTTAAAGGATGATAACATAAGGTCTTGTATACCCACTCCCTCGTGAGATAATCAAAACTGGTGAAAACTATTAAAAAAAATCAATCATTTAAAGTCTCTGGAAAATGTCCTAAGGGCATACAGCAAATGAGAAAACATTTATTCAAGAACATCTAAGGCATCTGAGCCACCATCTCCTCCTCCCTTCCACATCCCTAGCTCAGCTAGATGGAAACTTTATTCCAGGTGGGGGCAGCCAAGAACAAAGGGCAGAATGTTCCTGGGCTCCCTTTCTCCATCAAGCCCCGGCTCACAGGACAGAGGTTTTGTCCCAGGGGCACTGAACTCTCTTCAAAGTACAATCCTCCTCGCCCCAGCTCATTAGTACAGCAGAGGATCCACAATGGGAAAGCAAACCCTGTCTCAGTTAAAAAAAAAAATTAAAAGAAAAAGATGGCTCACGCCTGTAACCCTAGCACTCTGGGAAGCCGAGGCAGGCTCAAGGTCAGGAGTTTGAAACTAGCCTGAGCAAGAGCGAGACCCTGTCTCTACCAAAAAAAAAGACAAAGAAATTAATTGGCCAACTAAAAATATATAGAAAAAATTAGCCAGGCATGGTGGCGAATGCCGGTAGTCCCAACTACTTGGGAGGCCAAGGCAGCAGGATTACTTGAGCCCAGGAGTTTGAGGTTGATGTGAGCTAGGCTGATGCCATGGCACTCTAGCTTGGGCAACAGAGTAAGACTCTGTCTCAAAAAAAAAAAAAAAAAGAGAATAGCAATAATAAGAAAGAAATTATAAAATCAAAAAATAAAGAGGAAACAGAATAAAAAAATATGAATAGGCTGGGCGCCTTGGCTCACGCCTGTAATCCTAGCACTCTGGGAGGCTGAGGCGGGAGGATAGCTCAAGATCAGGAGTTCGAAACCAGCCTGAGCAAGAGTGAGACCCCGTCTCTACTAAAAATAGAAAGAAATTAATTGGCAAACTAAAAATATATAGAAAAAAATTAGCCGGGCATGGTGGCGCATGCCTGTAGTCCCAGCTACTTGGCAGGCTGAGGCAAGAGGATCACTTGAGCCCAGGAGTTTGAGGTTGCTGTGAGCTAGGCTGACGCCATGGCACTCTAGCCTGGGAATATGAATAAAGTCTCAGAAAATGTGGGACACCTTTAGGCATACCAACATACCCTGATGAAGGACAGAAGGACAGAAATGAACAGAAAAAATAATTTTGAAATGACAGTTAGTAAAAGTGGAAGAAATGGGATAAAAATTGATAATATCCTACTTTTGACTAAATTTAATGAACTTCTTAAGTTTGCAAATTTAATATTATGAGGGCTCTTGAATATTTGCCTTTTTTCTTTTTTGAGATAGGGTCTCACTGTTGCCTGGGCTAAAGGGCAGCGGCATCACCCCAGATCACTGCAACCTCAAACTCCCAGGCTCAAGTGATCCTCCTGCCTTGGCGCTCCCAGAGTGCTAGGATTACAGGCGTGAGCCACCACATCTGGCCTTGATATTTTTAATATTACACAAATTCTCTATTCTGTCTTGAAGAACAGCACTACAGACATATGACTGTTAATGAAATGTGGCCTTTAAAATACATATTAAAGGCCGGGCGCAGTGGTTCACTCCTGTAATCCTAGCTCTCTGGGAGGCTGAGGTGGGTGGATCGTTTGAGTTCAGGAGTTTGAAACCAGACTGAGCAAGAGCGAGACCCCGTCTGTACTATAAATAGAAAGAAATTAATTGGCCAACTAATATATATAAAAAAAATTAGCCGGGCATGGTGGCGCATGCCTGTAGTCCCAGCTACTCAGGAGGCTGAGGCAGCAGGATCGCTTGAGCTCAGGAATTTGAGGTTGCTGTGAGCTAGGCTGACGCCATGGCACTCACTCTAGCCTGGGTAACAAAGTGAGACTCTGTCTCAAAAAAATAAATAAATAAAATAAAATAAAATACATATTAAAAAAGAGAAACTGAGGGTAAAATTCATCAAGTTCATAAACAGGCAAATCTCAGAAGACATATAACTTGTGCAAATGTGCACTGCTATAAGTATCCTAATGTTTGTAGCATTATTTATAATTTCAAAACTTGAAAATAAAATGTAAATATACTATTAATGGACATTTTTCTAATATACAAATCAACCACTATGTCCATTAATAGGGTTAAGTGAAACTGTAAATTTTGAAAAAAAGAGTTAGGTTTGAATATACTTTACCACTGCTTTTTTTGACCCTAACTTATACAACAGGAAAGGCTATCCATGGTAAGTGATATAAGTAAATTAAACCTTTTCTCATTCTGCATGTTTCTAAATGCACTGAAGAAAGTCTGGAATTTACATTAATCTGTCCAAAACAAATTGTGATTATAGGGAGGTACTTTCAATTTTTACTTTATATACCTCTCCATTGTCTGATATATTCTTTTTTTTTTTTTTTTTTTTGAGACAGTCTTACTCTGTCACTCCAGTGCACTAAAGTCAACATAGCTCACTACAACCTCATACTCCTGGGCTCAAGCAGTCCTCCCTCCTGCCTTGGCCTCCCCACAGTGCTAGGATTATAGGTGTGAGCCACCTCACCCAGCCTATCTGATGCTTTTTCTAATTTTAAAACTAAAAGCATCTATTAATTCTAGATCAAAAATAAAAAAGGAAAATATACATATCAATCCATATAGCAGTAAGTTAGCCCACAAAAAGATACTGATATAAAATACTACTTCTATACAAAGAGAAAAACTTCCCCTCCAGAAATGATAGTTCAGTTGTGAGGCAACCCTCTAGTAAGGCATTGCAGAAGTTACTGGATTTGGTTTGTTTTCAATAAAAGTTGAAATAAACTATTTGAGTAATAGAGTAAAATGTATGTTAAGAGACGACAAACTTTTTAATAAAAGTTAAAAAAAAAAAAGAGAAAACTTGTTATTACCTTGATTTCTCATTGGAATGGTTAGCATAGCAAGGTATGGCAATAGCTGAGTTTGAAGGCATAAAGCTGGCAGGCAGAAGTCAGAAAAAAGTGCTTTTGCTGTCAAGCAATTTTCCCGATACTGTATAGAAAACAAAAAGATGAAAGGAAAAACAAAATTTAAAATATGGTTATACATTCCTAGACAAACTAAGTTTACTGTATCACAAAGTATGTGGGTTTATATACTACAAATATACTTTTAAGGGTTTATGCAATTAGTCCTTTACGATTTTTCTGGTGTTACCTAATAAAGCATTTTACCTACATAGTTATTTCACATTTGACATAACAAGAATTTATTTAAAAAGAGACTTAATGTATACGATAATCTCAAAACTCAAAATAATTCTGTTTAGGAGCATACATACATCACAAACATGAGAAAGATTGTAAAAATATTATTCCTCAATGAAATAATTTAGTTTCTTTAGTCAATATAATGTTAGGCTGATGAGGAGAAAAGCACAATCCCTGCTTTCAAGGCACTTATAGTCATGCACTCTGGGAGGCCGAGGCGGGCAGATTGCTCAAGGTCAGGAGTTCGAAACCAGCCTGAGCAAGAGAAGACCTCATCTCTACTATAAACAGAAAGAAATTAATTGGCCAATAATGAATATAGCAAATTGGGGGTATGTGGTGCATTGCTGTAGTCCCAGGCTACTAGGGAGGCTGAGGCAGGTGGATCGTGAGCTCAGAGTTTGAGGTTGCTTGTGAGCTAGACTGACGCAACGGCACTCACTCTAGCTGGAACAAAGTGAGAGTCTGTCTCAAAAAAAAAAAAAAAAAAAAAAATTAAAAAAAAAATAAAATCATGAAATTTGGCCGGGCATGGTGGTTCACGCCTGTAAACCTAGCACTCTGGGAGGTTTAGGCAGGAGGATAGCTTGAGGTCAGGAGTTCGAGACCAGCCTGAGCAAGAGCAAGACCCCGTCTCTACTAAAAATAGAAAGAAATTAGCTGGACAACTAAAAATATATAAAGAAAATTAGCCAGGCATGGGTGGCGCATGCCTGTAGTCCCAGCAGCTAGGGAGGCGTGAGGCAGTAGGATCGCTTGAGTCCAGGAGTTTGAGGTTGCTGTAAGCTAGGCTGATGCCACGGCACTTACTCTAGCCTGGGTGACAAAGTGAGACTCTGTCTCACAAAAAAAAAAAATTAATTAGTTAAGTAAAATTAACAAACACCATATATATTTGGGGTATAGAATGTAATGTTTAAAACATGTTTACAAGGTGGAATGGCTAAATCAAGCCAATTAACATATGCATTACCTCACATACACATCCTTTTTGTTGTGGTCAGAACATTTAAAATCTACTCCTCTAGTGACTATCAAGTATATAGTACTTTTTTTTTTTTTTTTGAGACAGAGTCTCGCTTGTTGCCTAGGCTAGAGTGAGTGCCGTGGCGTCAGCCTAGCTCACAGCAACCTCAAACTCCTGGGCTCAACCAATCCTGCTGCCTCAGCCTCCCAAGTAGCTGGGACTACAGGCATGTGCCACCATGCCCGGTATTTTTTCTATTATATTAGTTGGCCAATTAGTTTCTTTTTCATATAGAAGAGACGGGTTTTTTTTTTTTTTTTCTCGCCCTTTTTCCTTGTTTTGCTTTTGTCCCAGGGGGGCTTGGGTTGAATCCGACTTCGAGCAATCCACCCGCCTCGGCCTCCCAGAGAGCTAGGATTACAGGCGTGAGCCACCGCGCCCGGCCTATAGTACCTTTTTATTATCTATAGTCACCATGTTTTACAATACATCTCCAGAACTTATTCCTCCCTGTCTAACTGAAAGTTTACATCCTAGGGTTTTTTAAAATCAGCTTTCTCAGGTTGAACTAGGTTTATTATTAATTAGAACTAAAATATAAGTATACTTTAATTCTAATAAAAATCAACTAATAAACAAAATAGGCATGTGCTTTCAAATATTTAGAGTTTTTTTCATTAAAAAAGATCACCTTCTAGCATGCCCTTTTTATATTTTATCATAATTCTAAGAAAATTGTTGGCCTTAGCAATTATTTTAAGAACAAAACATTTTTCTTTTTTTTTACTTTTTAACAAATAACAGCTTTGAGATATAATTCACATACCATAAAGTTCACTTATTGAAAGAGTACAATTCTTTTTTTACCTTTTTATTTATTAGAAACCACTGAGGTTTGTGCAAGGGTCGAAAACTCGATCCGCCTACTTGGCAATGAGCAAATCCTCGGGCTTTGTTGGAATGTATCACACCTCTTGTAGCTATAGATGTACTATATTCCCTGAGTAAGGAGCGTGTCTACCAAATGAGAGACGAGACATAAAATAAATAAGAGATTTATAAAATAGTATTATTGGTACTAATGACACACAAAAAAAGACTAACCATACTCAGTTTCTATGTGTTTACTTTTTTCAACATCACCACAACCCTATAAGTAATAATGGTACAAAGTCATCTAAAGCACATTCAGTTGAGACATAACAATCAAATGCAATATGTAAACCCTGATTGGATCTTGAATATGGATTAGGGGAGTGATAATTTAAAATATAGTTTTAAGGCAAATGTGGAAATCTGAATAGGCATAATATGTTACCAAATTAATGTTAACTTTCTTAGGTATGATAATGCTATTGTGGTTCTAATAGAACAATGTCCTTATGCATGGTTAAGTATTAAGTGTCATGATATTTGCAATTATTTTCCAAACAATTTTGGAATTGCAAATAATTTTCACAATTATTTTGGCTGCAAATTCAGCCAAAAACAGGTGTGTAAATACATGGAGAGATTAAGCATATATGGCAAAATGTGAAAAATGGAAGAATAAAAGTTAAGATACACAAATATGCACTATACTATTCTTTTAACTTATCTAAACATAGGAAAATTTCAAAAAAGAAATAATAATTTTAAAAATTAAGCAAATGCAACTACTAAGTAAAGAAATTCTGTATCATAAATGGTTTTCTTTGTATCTTTCCTAATTTTAGTTATTACTGCTATTTTATATAACACAAATACTAACATATCAAAACAGTGTTCATGGTGGCTCACGCCTGTAATCCTAGCACTCTAGAGGCCGAGGCAGGTGGATTGCTCAAGGTCAGGAGTTAAAACCAGCCTGAGCAAGAGCAAGACCCCGTCTATATTAAAAATAGAAAGACATTAATTGGCCAACTAAAAATATATAGAAAAAATGAGCCGGGCATGGTGGCGCATGTCTGTAGTCCTAGCTACTCTGGAGGCTGAGGCAAAAGGATTGCTTGAGCCCAGGAGTTTGAGGTTGCCATGAGCTAGGCTGATGCCATGGCACTTTAACCTGGGCAACAGTGAGAATCTGTCTCAAAAAAAAAAAAAGTGTTGTCCAATAGAACTTCCTGCAATGATGGAAATGTTTTTTACCTAGGTTGTTAAAAAGGTAGCTATCCACCACATGTTAAAAAGGTACTGGAGATGTGGCTAGTGTGACTGAGGAACTGAATTTTTAATTTAATTTAAATTTAATTAGCCACAGGCGGTTAGTGGCTGTTGTACTGTTCAGGGTAGAATTAAGATGTAACAAAAAATAAAAATTTTATAGTAAATAATTTCAAATATGTAAAAAAAAAGATACATTTTCAAAACTAGCATAAAGTATGGAAAGATGTGTATTTCTTTTGCTTCTATCTACTTTTCAATGGTTCTCAAATTTTCTAAGGATATATTAATTTTAAAATCAGAAAATAGCTTTGGAAAAAAATTAGTGTTACATTATCAATAGAAAAATCAGATTAGCTACTGAAGCATCCTTACCAATACTGGGTTGGATGGATTAACTTTAGCACAGTTATGAAGAATAGTCACATAAAATATTGTCAAATGATTAGGGATAAAAGTACACTTTCTTTACTTAATTCTGAAGAAATACTCATAAACAAAAGCACTTAAGTCAAATGGTCTTACATTCCAGTCACCACTGAGGATATCTGCAAAACTTAGAAATTCACTGGCTCTCACAAGATCATCTACATCCATGAAGAAATCTACGTAGTTTTGGTGAAGATATAAATTAAATAACTCTCCTGGCACGTGAGACATTTCTACTACTTCCTACAAAACGAAGCATATGTACATAAATTTAGTAAAAATGTAGTAGTCAGATATATATGCACACAAATAATATATCTGTTGTAACCAGTACTAAGTGTCGTGAAAGGCCTTACCTCAGGTTGAACAAGTAAAGTATCTCGTTCATACTCTGATAAATGAGAAGGCAACTGAGGTGAGTCTAATTCCGTTAAAGATGCTCCTATAAAAAATTTTTGGAATTATTAAAGATAATACCATCTTTATAATTACATAGCACCTCTCATTTGAAGATTTTCAACACTTTTGACACTTAATGCCAAAATACTAAACAAGCTTTTAAAAGAAAAAAAAAACCCTGAGCAAAGGTGAGACCTCATATCCACAAAAATATGAAAATTAGCCCAGTGTGCTAGTACACACCTGTAGCTCTAGCTACTTGAGAGGCTGAGGCAGGAGGACTGCTTGAACCCAGGAGTTTGAGAGTGCGGTGAGCTATGCTGATGCCACTACACTCTAGCCTGAGAAACAGAGCAAGACCCTGCCTCAAAAACAAACAAAAACAAAATACCCGGAAGCTTATGTGAGACACCTATTTTATCAATATTAGCAAGAACTAAATTTAGAATTCTGATGCCTGGATCATGGCTTTTCTAGACTTAAAATACATTTCTCCCTAGCACTCTGGGAGGCTGAGGCGGGCGGATTGCTCGAGGTCAGGAATTCAAAACCAGCTTGAGCAAGAGCAAGACCCCATTTCTACTATAAATAGAAAGAAATTAATTGGCCAACTAATATATACAGAAAAAATTAGCCAGGCATGGTGGCGCATGCCTGTAGTCCCAAGCTGCTTGGGAGGCTGAGGCAGTAGGATTGCTTGAGCCCAGGAGTTTGAGGTTGCTGTGAGCTAGGCTGATGCCACGGTACTCACTTTAGCCTGGGCAACAAAGTGAGGCTCTGTCTCAAAAAAAAAAAATAAAATACATTTCTCAGCTGGGCAAGGTGGCTCACACCTTGAGAAGCTGAGGTAGGAGGATCACTTGAGGCTAGGAGTTTGAGACCAGCCTGGGCAATGTAGCAAGATCCTGTCTCTATAAGAAAGAGAAAAATTAGCCAGGTGTGGTGGTACGCACCTGTTGTCCCAGCTACTTGTGATGCTAAGGCAGGAGGATTGCTTGAGCGCTGGATTTGAGGTTGCAGTGAGCTATGATGCCACTGTACTCTAGCCCAGGCAACAGAGTGAGATCATATCCCAAAATAAAAATAAACCAAAACCCCCCAAAAACAAAAAATCCTCTATTTCTTAAAGCACTCCCATATCACTTTTTCCAGGTTTGGGCTGCTTTCTTCCTTTGATTATAATCTCAATACAGAGGTCTTTACTCTTTTACTTACTATGTAGAAAGATGTTGTTCTTTACATGAGAGATTGGGAACCCCATTCCCTAATACAAGAAAGTATAAATGAATGCTGGAGAGGAAAAGTAAAGGTCGAAGAAAAAGAATTTGGTGGAATAGCCACTTAGGTTCAGAGGATCCAGGGACAGAGGGGTGTCTTCCCTGACATCTAAGTGATGCCCATTTCATTTTCCTCAGGTGGTAGGAAAGTTCCCATTTAGAAGCCCCAATTTCCTTTTTTCATGATCATAAGACTGAAAACAGGTATTTCCTATTGAAAGGAGGGACAATCTGGGAGATGGGCAATGGGGGCAGAGAAGCTGAGGGGGAGCAGGCATTAAAGAAGACAGCAGGGAGCAATGAACATCTCCGGCTGAGGAAGCAGCAAGCTAGTGGAATACAGCAAAATACAAGAGGATTGCAAAAAACCTTAAGGTACCTGACAATTTCTCTAGGCTAGGGTCCTGGTGGCTAAAAACTAATGCTAAAAGGGCTTTGGACCACCAACTTGCCAGTAAAGTTGGACTGATGGCTTACTTTCAGCAAACTATAATTTTAAAGATTTACAGACATGGATATGGCCTATAGTAGTTTACTTTTACTTATCTTGCTCATAGTCAGAAAATACTCTATTTAAATACATTCTCCTGTAACATCTTAGGCCATGGCAAATAGTATCTGACCTAGCCCTAGCCTTTTCTTATAATAGAATCAAATACATGACATTTAAAAAAAATGTGGTATTTTATTTCCATTGTAAGGCTATGTAATATCCAACAAATCTTAAAAACGTATAGTTTCTTACTTTTACAATACAGAATTTTTCCCAAAGCTCTGAAGAGAAACAGAGAAACATCTTTGCCACCAATAGCTTGGACTTCTTGATGTTCTAAAACCCTATCAGGTTTTTTTCTTCGTTTTGATTTTGACAGCGCAGCCTCTGGTTTTAGTGATACTCCTTTTTTCCTTGGCCATAAATTGTTCTCTCCTAAATAATATACAGCCAAGTGACAATATTTAAAATTAAAATACAAATATTAAAAGAATAGTTCAGATATTTTTATACTAAATATTCTAATTAAATATATTGTTCTAACAAATAATTATAAGGTATGTGAACTGATTCAGAGTCCTCTTTGGGTTACTAATGCTATTCAAATGGAATAAAATGTTACTGAAAAGTATCTCATGACACAGATTTCAAACTTTCACATACACAATGACACACTATTATAGGTTGACATTCCCAATCCAAGAATCCAAAATCCAAAATCTGAAACTATACTTACCTTGAGATATCTTAAAAAAAAAAAAAAAAAATCTGAAACTTTCTGAGTACCAACATGGCACTCAAAAGAAATGCTCGCTGGACCACTTTAGATTTCAGATTTTTAGACTAGGAATGATGAACCGGTGTGATGCAAATATTTTAAAATCTGGGAAAACTTGAAATACTTCTGTTCCTAAGCAATTCAGGTAAGGAACACTCAACCTGTACAGTCATATCACCTTGGTTTCTCACAGTGCAAGGTACTATTCTTAGTGCATAATACATGTAATTAATTTAATCCTCCTAACAACCCTGTGAGGGGAGAACAATTATGATGCAGTTAAAGAAATGAGATATAGGCCAGAAGCAGTGGCTCATTCCTGTAATCCTAGCACTCTGAGTGGCTCAGGCGGGTGGATCGCTCGAGGTCAGGAGCTCGAAACCAGCCTGAGCAAGAGCAAGAGCAAGACCCCTTCTCTACTATAATAGGAAGAAATTAATTGACTAACTAAAAATATATATACAAAAAATTAGCTGAGCATGGTGGCACATGCCTGTAGTCCCAGCTTCTCGGGAGGCTGAGGCAGTAGGATCGCTTGAGCCCAGGAGATTGAGGTTGCTGTGAGCTAGGCTGACGCCATGGCACTCACTCTAGCCTGGGCAACCAAGTGAGACTGTCTCAAAAACAAAACAAAACAGACATAAAGAGGTTAAGTAACTGGCTCAAGGTTAGAAATTAAGTGATTCGAATCCAGGCAGTCTGGTTCTACAATCTATGTTTAACAACTGTGCTGTATTACCTCTCTACAAACTTTGACAGTCCCCAGTTTGTAAATATGCCTGTATTCAAATTTCACTTTTAAGTCTATTTAAAACTCAGAATATGTGACTTAAAAACATCCTCAAACAGCAGAAAAAATGTTGGACGCGGTAGCTCATGCATATAATCCTAGCACTCTGGGAGGCTGAGGCGGGAAGATTGCTTGAGGTCAGGAGTTTGACAACAGCCTGAGCAAGAGTGAGACCCCATTTCTACTAAAAAGTAGAAAAAAAAATTAGCTGGACAACTAAAAATAGAAACAAAAAATTAGCCAGGCATGGTGGTAAGCGCCTGTAGTTCCAGCTATTCGGGAGGCTGAAGGCAGGAGGATTGCTTGAATCCAAGAGTTTGAAGTTGCTTTGAGCTAGGCTGATGCCATGGCACTCTAGCCCAGGCAACAGAGTGAGACTCTGTTTCAAAAAAACAAACAAACAAACAAAAAGCACAAAGAACACAGTATCTGTATTTGAATCATAGCATTGTCTATCTCATTAGGCTAATCTGAGAATTAAATGAAAAAACATGTAATTGCTAATATAGTTCTTGGCCTACTCAAAAATTATTTTCCTGTCTTTAAAATTTCTGAGCCCAGAGCAATAATGTCATAAATGGTAGTCAGGATCCCAAATTGGCCCATTTCAGTCTTTCTAAACCATAATTCCAGCAGTGAACCTAAGTATCCAATACATATATGTTTCCCCAGGAATAAGCAGAATTCTGGTTTTACTTGTGTAAGGTTGCCTATCCCCACACAATTACTTTGAAAAACAAAGATACAAACCACTATGATTTCAGGTGGATTTTGGGTGCTCCACAGATGGCTTTCATTTCTTTATGGTAAATTCCTCGATGTTAAGAATTAAGTAAATAGTCTGCTAATGTTTTCTAATGAGGACTGTGCAGTAAACTATGATCACTAAAGCAAAAATGTAACTCATTGCCATTAATGGCACTATCTTTTTACGATTTGATGGCTATTTACATGTTTCACATATCAATAATGGGAAATGAATTAATTAGACATATCATATAAATTATTATGAAGTAAGTTGAAAAGGAAACCTATCTCAGCACAATACTATTAAACCTATTCATGGCTGACCACTTTTTGAGCCCTTACTATGTATCAAGTACTCTAAGAAGTACTCTACAAGTATTTCCTCCCTTATTCTTTTTTTTTTTTGAAACAGAGTCTCACTTTGTTGCCCAGGCTAGAGTGAGTGCCGTGGCATCAGCCTAGCTCACAGCAAGCTCAATCTGCTGGGCTCAAGCAATCCTACTGTCTCAGCCTCCCAAGTAGCTGGGACTACAGGCATGTACCACAATGCCCGGCTAATTTTTTCTATATATATCTTAGTTGGCCAATTAACTTCTTTTTATTTATAGTAGAGATAGGGTCTCGCTCTTGCTCAGGCTGATTTCGAATTCCTGACCTCGAGCAATCTGCCTGCCTCCGCCTCCCAGAGTGCTAGGATTACAGGCGTGAGCCACCGCGCCCAGTCTCATCCCTTATTCTTTATATAACCCTGTGAGATAAATTGTCATAAAAGGTAGGAATATAAAGGTACAAAAAGATAAAGGGACTTGCATAGGCCTATACAACTGGTAAGTGGTAGACCCAGGATTTTCACTTAGGAAGTCTCATTCTGAAATAATTTTGAAGGGTAAAGTAACAAACCATATAAATGAATCAAGTTTTGTCTCAAACAGACACAAGAGTATTTACTATGATATATTCACAGAGGAGTATATATGCATGTGTACACATATAATTTTAAGTCCCTTTCTCAATAAGAAAAATTAAGTGTACACAGGTATATACCAATTAAAAGCTAAAATGTTTAGTTTGATTTCATTTCATGAAGAATTAAGGGAAAGTTAATTAACTATATAATGCCACATAAATGTATCTTTCATAGTTACCTTTTGAAGAAGAAAACTGGAGGCTATTTATTGCACTTCTGATATCACCAGAACATCCTTGACAGAGCAACTCTAGAGAAGTTTTGTCAGGTACACTGATTTTTCCTCCATTCTAAAATGAGAAATGTAAATTTAAAGAAATATTTCTTAAAAATAATAACAACAACAAAAACATCCAACCAATTTTCTAAACTTAGTGGAAGTCAATTAGATTCTTTCAAGTATGGATACTAAAAAGCCTTCATGTTAAAACACCAGTCTGCCTACGAAGGTTACAACTGTCAATAACTTATCATAATTTAAGGTAAAATTTCAGGAGCAGTAAATACTGCATTGATTTCTTTGACCAGGTTATATTCTGAAGTTCTTACTCTTTTTTTCATTATATATACACACAAACATACAAATATATACATGTACACACACACAGACCTCAAAACATGGCAAAAAATTAAATATGCAAAAAATCTGAAAAATCTACAAAATTTACATGAACATCTATCTCTTTTCTAGGATTTTCTACATATTAATAGTCTTATTGAGGCTGGGCGGGGTGGCTCACGCCTGTAATCCTAGCACTCTGGAAGGCCGAGGCGGGCGGATTGCTCCAGGTCAGGAGTTCGAAACCAGCCTGAGCAAGAGCAAGACCCCGTCTCTACTATAAAAATAGAAAGAAATTAATTGGTCAACTAATATATATAGAAAAAATTAGCTGGGCATGGTGGCGCATGCCTGTAGTCCCAGCTACTAGGGAGGCTGAGGCAGTAGGGTTGCTTGAGCCCAGGAGATTGAGGTTGCTGTGAGCTAGGCTGACGCCACGGCACTCACTCTAGCCTGGGCAACAAAGCGCGAGACTCTGTCTCAAAAAAAAAAAAGTCTTATTGAGTATAATAAAATATTTTAATTCTGAAAATCAAAATAATATACATTACCAACTCCTCTTGTTTACATAATACTATTTAAGTTGGGCTTTCTATATTTACAGTGTAAGAGTCAATTAATCAGAGATTTACCTTGTTAGCTTCTATAGTCGCTATTCGATTAAGAAATTTCATCATAATTGTTGGTGCCACGGGGTTGAAACTGTAAAAGTTTTATAAAGAAAGATGGTGGTTAAATAATTTAAAAATATAACATGCAGGTAAACTTTACAAGCAGAAATTTCATTCTTACCTAATATTTGAGATAGAGCATTCTTCTTGAATTTCTTTGGGAAACAATAACCTTTGATTATTATATCCACTGAGACTGTCAGAGATTATAAATATAAGAGGACATCGGCCAATCTGCACATACTTCCTAAAATAACAAAATATGGCAATGTTGAAATTTAAGCTATTTGCCATTTAATTTGGAGTTCTAGAATACCTCACTGAAACTTACCTTAGAACTTCATGTAAAATATGTGGATCTCGATAAAACTGGTTAGGTAAATCCTATTAAAAATAAAGGACAAATATTAGATTTATTCCAATGCAAATTTATTTTCAGATTTATGTTTACTGAGATAAATAAAAACCAGAACTTTCACAAAAATTATAGAAAACGTGAAGCAGACTGATATCCTAAATAGTAATATGCATCAATGGGAACCTCAATTTTCAGATCAAATTTCTTAGGGCTGCTTTACAAGGTAAAGTATTTTTCCTGAGAAGTTAATTTCCAAACATTTCTTTTTGTTTTCTATGTTTAAACCATTACATTTTAAAAGTTCATTAACCTACAGTTCTAATTATTCAAGTTTACTGAAAAAGACATTAGGTTTCTGCTATTGCAAAGCTTTTGTGTTATATTTTACCACTATTACTACCATGGAGAGAGTTAATATTATCACATAAGATATATCCCACAATTGTTTATTCAATAGCTATAGCAGAATTTTAAAAGTTGTCCTTACTTCAACCAGAATTATCTTCTTATCAGTTCTCAGATCATCTCCAAGCATTTGTAGCTTGTTATACTTTGTTGCTCTTAATAGAAACTCTTTGAAAACTGCTATCTGAGACTGATACGGAAATATGTGGAAGTTTGATTCTGAAAGGAAACACATTTGCCACTTTTACTTTCAAAAACTTATATATATATCAATATTATATACACACATACAAATAAATATATCTACATATCCATGATGCAGCTCACAATACTGTAGACTGCTTTCTAATTAAGAAAAATTATTCAAATTTAAAATAGAATATTCATTTCAAAAGACAAGAGTCAACATGGACAACAGTAATTTTTCTATATCAATAAATGTAACATGGAATTAACTGAATCTGCAACACAGCTGTCAGCTTAACATTCATACAAACTGGTAAAAATAATTATGACTTTGGCCTACACAATGAAGACTCTCCAAATAAGTGTGAGCCTAAAAATGAATTATCTTCAGTAATAAAGGTTTAACAACAAAAAAGAATAACTGATCAGTGAACCTGAGGGTTAGGGAAGTTTCTCTGAAGGCATATTTCATATAGAAGATTGCTTAAATAAATACTTATTGGACTGTCAAGAGTAATGTTACTATCTAGAAAGCAGTAAAATTCCAAGAGCATGGGATATTAGCATCATAAGGCTATGCATACCAAAGATGTGGCATACACAGATCACATTAAAAAAGGAGCCCAGAAGGGATTTTGAGGAATATTCTACATTAAAATAAAACTGTCCTTCTATAAAACCCCTTTCCCTTCAAAGCAGTCTAGAAGTTTTGGCTAACCCTAGGTTTAACCATCTATAGCAGGGGTCCTCATTTTTTTTTTTTTTTTGGAGACAGAGTCTCGCTTTGTCGTCCAGGCTAGAGTGAGTGCCATGGCATCAGCCTAGCTCATAGCAACCTCAAACTCCTGGGCTCAAGCAATCCTGCTGCCTCAGCCTGCCTAGTAGCTGGGACTACAGGCATGTGCCACCATGCCTGGCTAATTTTTTCTATATATTTTTAGTTGGCCAATTAATTTCTATTTATAGTAGAAATGGGGTCTCGCTCTTGCTCAGGCTGATTTCGAACTCCTGACCTCGTACAATCCACCCGCTATGGCCTCCCAGAGTGCTAGGATTACAGGCGTGAGCCACCATTCCCGGCCTCCTCAAACTTTTTAAACAGGGGGCCAGTTCACTGTCCCTCAGACCGCTGGAGGGCCAGACTATAGTTTAAAAAAAAACTATGAACAAATTCCTATGCACACTGCACATATCTTATTTTGAAGTAAAAAAACAAACAGGCAAAAACACCAGCATGTGGCCCGCAGGCCATAGTTTGAGGATGCCTGATCTATAGAATCAATAATAAAAAATACAAAAGATAAAAATGATAAAGAATATACACATATGTGTGAAGTTACAATGTAATACATCCTTAAATTGGTACTATTATAATATTTTGAAAGGTTATCTTAAGGCCTTCTTCCAAAGACAGTCTTTGCCTTTTGCTTTGCTTTGGATTGATCTTATTCTAATAGGTATCTACTGATCTAAGTTAACTATCTGGTTGGAAAGCAAGTTCCTTTAACACATCTTAAAGCTTGATTGACATTTTACAAATAAAAAGATGGCAGGATGAGGTGGCTCACGGCTGTAATCCTAGCACTTTGAGAGGCCAGGGCAGGAGGACTGATTGAGGTCAGAGTTTGAAACCAGACTGAGCAAGAGCGGGAGACCCCCGTCTCTACAAACATTAGAAAATGGGGGGAAAAAAATAAAGAAAAAAACCCATCTTATTTAACACTGTCTAACCTCCCATCCAGAGCCTGGAAACAACCACACAAATAATGTAAACAGAATAGCTTGTTATCTAAGAAAACAGTTAAGACATAATCCTCAAAATTCCATTCTCCACTATTGGAGGCATGCTTCCCTTCCTTCTCCTGAAATTACTTCTGTGTGAAATTGGGAAGTAGGGTAGAAAATGCACTCACATAGATTGATCAGAAAGCTCTATTAAGCACAAGTTTTCTCCACTATTTCCACTATCTTCTACAAAAGTAAAGCTTAACCTTACCAGGATTAAACATCTCCTTGAAATCATTTTTTTGGAAGTCTGGTAAAACTGGATTAATCCACTCTTGTACTTGAATACCATGTTCCTTTGACAGTATTTTTATAGTAGTTGTCTTTCCACATCCAGGAGGACCTGTTATTAATAAAATAGATCCACCCTAAAACCAAATACAAATATTAATTAAAAACCCAAATAACTAAAATTCTAAAATATTAGTTTTGTATTTTCTTTCTAAATATTATACATGACATCTACAAATATTTATTGAATGTCTACTATAAGCAGACTAAATGTCACAATGATGCCTATTGGAAGAAAATAAAATAAAATGGGAGAATTTTATTTTCTAAATTTAAACCTCTCTTCTTGCAATATATTCCTCCCAAGGATTACTTAGTAGCCAAATTAAAACAACTAAACTTTGGCTAAATTGAGGAAGATAATATCTGAAACACAGATTTTTAGAGGTTATCTAAACTCATAAAATTCAATCTTAATACAGACTTCTCATTGGACAATACATTATACTAATATAATATTCTTATGGGAAGATCTAAGATTGATTATTACATTCTTTAAGAAACGCATATTAAGGCCAGGCGCGGTGGCTCATGACTATAATCCTAGCACTCTGGGAGGCCAAGGCAGGAGGATTGCTTGAGTTCAGGAGTTAGAGACCAGCCTGAGCAAGAGTGAGACCCCATCTCTACTAAAAATAGGAAGAAATTAGCCAAACAACTAAAAAAATAGAAAAAATTAGCCAGGCATGGTGGCACGTGCCTGTAGTCCCAGCTACCCGAGAGGCTGAGGCAGGAGGATCACTTGAGCCCAGGAGTTTGAGGCTGCTGTGAGCTAGGCTGATGCCACGGCACTCTAGCCCAGGCAAGACAGTGAGACTCTTTCTCAAAAAAAAAAAAAAAAAAAAAAAAAAAGCATATTAAGAAACTTATTTGTCTACCAGTGAGATGTTTAAAAAAAAGAAACTTATTTACCAGAGACAGGAGACGCTAATGAGAGACTAGAGGTTGTAGGTCCCAGTATCATTCCCTCATATAGTAAATGTGGTAAAAAAAAGTTATAGCTAAAAAAAATTAGGGCAAGATTTCCTACATACAATGGTGAAGTGTAATCCACTTTATAAACTAGTGTAAATGGACCCAGAAGAGCCAGTTCCACTTTTTAAAAGGGTAGTGAATGAGTTATAGTGCTGTTGGTGTGAGTTCAATATTAATGAATCAACAATGAATCAACAGCCATGTGTCAATAACTGCTTTTTGGTCAATGACAGACTGCATATACAATGGTAATCCTATAAGATTATAATGGAGCTGAAAAATTCCTATTGCCTAATCCTAATGTTCTAGCATGATGCATTACTCATGTTTGTGGTGATGCTGGTAGAAACAAACATACTGCACTGGCAGTCATATAAAAGTACAGCACAGTAGCCGGGCGCGGTGGCTCACGCCTGTAATCCTAGCTCTCTGGGAGGCTGAGGCGGGCAGATTGCTCGAGGTCAGGAGTTCGAAACCAGCCTGAGCAAGAGTGAGACCCCATCTCTACTATAAAATAGAAAGAAACTAATTGGCCAACTAATATATATAGAAAAAATTAGCCGGGCATGGTGGCTCATGCCTGTAGTCCCAGCTACTTGGGAGGCTGAGGCAGAAGGATTGCTTGAGCCCAGGAGTTTGAGGTTGCTGTGAGCTAGGCTGACACCATGGCATTCACTCTAGCCTGGGCAACAAAGCAAGACTCTGTCTCAAAAAAAATAAATAAATAAAAATAAAAAGTACAGCACATATAATTATGTATAGCACACTTTACTTGCTAATGATAAAAAACAACTAAGTTACTGGTTTATGTATCTACTATATTTTATCATTAATTTAGAGTGTACTCCTACTTCTAAAAAAAGTTAACTATAAAACAGCCTCAGGAAAGTTTTTTAGGAGGTATTTCAGAAGAAGGCATTGTTATTACAGGTGAACACAGCTTTATGTATGTATTGCCAATGAAGACTTTCCTGTGGGATCAAGATGTGGAGATGGAAGATAATGATGCTGATGATCCTGAGTCTGTGTAAGCATAGGGTAATGTGTTTGTGTCTTCATTTAAAAAAGAAAGGTTAAAAAGCTAAAAATAAATTTAAAAATTTAAAAGCAGATAAAAGCTGTTAGAATATAAAGAAAATTTTGTACAGCTATACATATGTTTGTGTTTTAAGCTAAATGTTACTATAAAAGAATCAAAACGTTAAAAAAATTAAAGTTTATAAAGTAAAAAAGCTATAGTAAGCTAAGCTTAATGTATTATTTAAGAAAGAAAAAGGCCGGTGCAGTGGCTCATGCCTGTAATCCTTGTACTCTGGGAGGCCAAAGCGGGCGGGTCGTTTCAGCTCAGGAGTTGGAGACCAGCCTGAGCAAGAGCAAGACCTCATCTCTACTAAAAACAGAAGAAATTAGCTGGACAACTAAAAAATATACAGAAAAAATTATCTGGGCGTGGTAACGCATGCCAGTAGTCCCAGCTACTCGGGGAGGCTGGGGCAGAAGGATCACCCGAGTCCAGGAGTTGGAGGTTGTTGTGAGCTAGGCTGATGACACGGCACTCCAGTCCGGGCAACAGAGACACTGTCTCAAAAAAAAAAAAAAAATGCTTTTTCATAAATTTACTATAGCTTAAGTGTATGATGTTTATAAAGTCTACAGTAGTGTCCAATAATGTCCTAGGCCTTCACATTCACTCTCCACTCAAACACTGACTAACCCAGAGCAATTTCCAGTCCTGCAAGCTCCATTCATGGTAAGTGCTGTATTAAAGTACACTCTTTTAAAATTTTTTATAGCTATATTTTTACTATACTTTTTCTATGTTTGGATACACATATAATTTCCACTCTGTTACAAATGCCTATTGTTTTCAGTATAGTAACATGCTGTACACATTTGTAGCCTAGGAGCAATAGGCTATTCCATATAGGTTACATGTGTATAGGCCACACCAGATTTGTGTAAGTATATTTTGTGATGTCTGCACAACGATGAAATCACATAATGACACATTTCTCAGAATGTATCCCTTCTGTTAATCGACACATGACTACACATTAAATAAGATGTCTTTAAATACAAACAACACACATAAAACATGGTTATGTATTGATGGGTTGACAAAAATGTTGTGACCAGAGGCTTTTAGAAACTTAAACTTAATCCCATATTTTTCCTTTTTTTTGAGACAGGCCCTTGCTTGGTCTCCTGGACTAGGGTGCAGGGGCGTGATCATACTCATTGCAACCTCAAATGATCCTCCTGCTTCAGTCTCCCGAGTACCTGGGACTACAGGCGCATAGCACTATGCCCAGCTAATTTTTCTATTTTTTGTAAAGACAGGGTCTCACTCTTGCTCAGGCTGTTCTCCAACTCCTGGCCTCAAGCAATCCTCCCACCTCAGCCTCCACGAATGCTAGGAATACAGGCATGAGCCACCAAACCTAGACTTAATTCCATATTTTTCCTAAGAAAAATACTCCAGTAGTTGTTGATTCAACAACTTTAGAGGCCGGGCGCTGTGGCTCACGCCTGTAATCCTAGCTCTTGGGAGGCCGAGGCGGGCGGATTGCTCAAGGTCAGGAGTTCAAAACCAGCCTGAGCAAGAGCGAGACCCCGTCTCTACTATAAATAGAAAGAAATTAATTGGCCAACTGATATATATATAAAAAATTAGCCGGGCATGGTGGCGCATGCCTGTAGTCCCAGCTACCCGGGAGGCTGAGGCAGAAGGATCACTCGAGCCCAGGAGTTTGAGGTTGCTGTGAGCTAGGCTGACGCCACGGCACTCACTCTAGCCTAGGCAAGAAAGCGAGACTCTGTCTCAAAAAAAAAAAAAAAAAAAAAAAAAAACAAACAACTTTAGAGAACATAAATGCCTCAAATAATGAAAACTACTATATCACTAAGCAGATCACTTTTCAGAAAAGAAAAAGAAGCCCATGCATGGGAGCTATGTATTTTTCTTATGTAATATACCTAAGCGTCTGTTTTCTGACACAGTGAGTAGAGTCACATTGCAAAAGTTTTGCTTCTAGTAAGAGAACTGGGAGGTGGTCTCTTATCAGAACACTACAACATGAAGATTTTTAAAAATCCCCCCACTGTCATACTGTAGTAGAGTTTTACTGTATTTTAAAGGTAAGAAATTACCCTGAAAAATTAAACTCAGCAAATATTTGAGGTATTATATAATACATTTTTTGGAGTAAATTTAGTTTGCCCATTGATAAATCTAGAAGTTATCCAATTTTTTTGAAGAGAAATATCTTGTAATTACTGCCATCATTGAAACTTTTGTATATGATTTGTTAGAGTCCAACTCCTCAGTGGGGAAAAGTTTTTAAAACTGTAGAGAAAATACTTTCCCCAGTATCTATATATGTACATACATTCCTAAGTTTATCCAAATGGTAAAGTAACAATAGTAACACCCATGAAGGTTGATGACATGATAATGTTTATACTAAGAGAGTACTTCTAAGTGAAAGAACATAGGAGAGACTGAAAAATATAAACTATTAGCTGAGCTGACCAAAAACAAATCAATGAGAAAAAGCCTGGATGTACAGGTGTTTTCAGAGAAACTGTCTAGTGGGTCTAATCTGTACTCAGAAAAGAGAAATGAGAGAAATTTTTATGAGCCTTCAGAAGAATACCAATGCTGACAATGAAAATCCATTTTGAATAAATTATCTTAACCCTAAACCAAAGGGTTAGATCCACAGGCCAGACAGAAAGTAGGTTTGATTCAAGAGAGAAGGATGCTACCATCAGAGCAACTAAAATACCAACTCCTTCATCTCAACGTTGAAAACTAAAGAAAAAACCTAATATAAACAATGAACTTTGGGTGTTAAGTGTTACGTCAATGTACGTTCATCAGTTTTAACAAACATACCACTCTGGTAGGGAAATGTTGATAATGGGGAGAACTATGCATGTTTGGGAAGCAGAAAATACATGGGAAATCTCTGTACCGTCTGCCCAATTTGGCTGCAAACGTAAAACTGCTCTAAAACATAAAGTTTATTTAAAAATGAAAATAAAGATTTAAAACTTATCCTGCCTTTCCAGTTGGAATTGCATTTCATGGTAACTAAATAGCCCCAACTAGTGATGGCAAACTTTTTTTAATAGAAATGTATCAGCTAAAAATTGTAGAAATAATAGAATTACTTGAAAATCATCAATTCACAACTCTAATAAGTGATTCAGGCAAGGATTGAAAATTGATACTAAGGCACACAGGTGAAAGACTGCTGGGGAACTGGGCACTCGCATGCCACCAAAGTATTTCCCCATAGATTATGTGCCAGTTACAAGGGAAAGTTATTCTACAATGAAGATTTTTGGCTATCACCTCCTTAAGTCTAGTGACCAAACTTATTATCAAAGACAGGAGGAGAAGGCCAGGCGCGGTGGCTCACGCCTGTAATCCTAGCTCTCTGGGAGGCCGAGGCGGGCGGATTGCTCAAGGTCAGGAGTTCGAAACCAGCCTGAGCAAGAGCGAGACCCCGTCTCTACTATAAAATAGAAAGAAACTAATTGGCCAACTAATATATATAGAAAAAATTAGCCGGGCATGGTGGCTCATGCCTGTAGTCCCAGCTACTTGGGAGGCTGAGGCAGAAGGATTGCTTGAGCCCAGGAGTTTGAGGTTGCTGTGAGCTAGGCTGACGCCACGGCACTCACTCTAGCCTAGGCAACAAAGCGAGACTCTGTCTCAAAAAAAAAAAAAAAAAAAAAGACAGGAGGAGAAATACCCATACATTCCAATTTAACACTTTATAAAATATATACCGTAACTTTTAAAGCATTCTTGTAAAAATGTTCAACTTGGGTCTAATCAAGCCCTTGATTCAAAATTCCACGTTACAGGAAATGCAGGACAGAAGAACAAGTTAATCATCATCAGGATGAAACAATCTGACAAATTCAGAATGACACTTCTGCAAGTCAACTGGCCTGGGTCTGTTTAATAAGTCAATGTCTTGGCCAGTCGCAAGACATTACTCACTCCCGTAATCCTAGCACTCTGGGAGACCTAGGCAGGAGGATTGCTTGAGCTCAGGAGTTCGAGACCAGCCTGAGCAACAGTGACACCCTCCATCTCTACTAAATAGAAAAAATAAGTCAATGTCTTGGAGAAAAAGAAAGATGGCGGGGACTATTACTAGATCAAAAAACACCCAGCTTGGGCAACATAGGGAGATCTTGTCTCTAAAACGACAAAGACCTAAGAGATATAACAATCAAATGCAAAGTTTGGTCCTTAAGTTAGATTCTGCTTGAAACAACCAAGTTGCAAAATAGTCAGACAACAGTTGCTGACGGAAAAAAAAGGCAAAGCAGGTGCAAAAGACATTAAGACATTTTGGGGACAACTGGAGAAATGTGCATATAAACTGACCATTAGATAACATTAGAGCATTAAAATTAATTTTCTTAGAATAATGGTATATGTAATTAGGAAAATGATTTAAAAAAAAATCCTAGACATACTGAAGTATCGAAAAATCTGACGGAAATGTCGCAACGCTTACAATTTATTTAAAAATACTTAAGGGGGAAATGATGAGTATATTATGGAGAGGAGTATTTTTCTATTTTCCTTTATGTTTGAAGAGTCTCAAAATAAAAATGTTTAAAAAGACTGAGAGAAGGAGACCATTCAACATAGGAGGACTGAGGATAGTTGTAGAATTAGGAAGTGAAACAAAAACCACCAACCTAAAATAATGACTGTTTTAGGCTATATTTAATACAGAAAGTAACATGCAATTTGCTTGCTTGCCTCAGTATAAGATAATTTAATGTGCTAAATATACTAGTACCCTAAATTATTTACTATGCCTTATTTTGATGATAAGATATAAGGAAAAAGACATACAAATAAAGGGGAAAACTCAAAGTCTCCAAGTCTTTTAGTGAGGTTAGAAGTAGTAAAAGTCAGGGAGCTTTCTATTAGAGGTGATCTGAACTTATTTGACCAAAGTCATCATAAAAGTTTAACTTCTAACAGCACACTGTAAGTCAGAAAAACATTTGATGTTAAATATTTTAAAACATTTCTTATTTAATTACCTGTTTTGGTTGCCTTTCTGAAACTTGAGCTTTTAACCAGGTTTCAACTTCTTCAATTTTCTTTTTATGCACAGCAAGTTCATGCTGAGATAAAAATTTCATGTTTAAAATAAAACATTTTAACTCAAGGGTTTAACATATTAACCTAAACGTATTTAATTTAAAAAAGTAGTAAACCAGTAACATGCTGTATCATAATAAAAATGATCCTTTTTGATTACACTTGAACTTTTATATTGCTACGGAAAAATTCTATTCTTAAGCTGATACCACTATATAATAATTTTGGCAAGTTTGCAACTAAAAAATATTTTAAAATCCAGGAACACATTTTGAGAAGGCATAGGGAGAAATATTATAAGGAGATCAATTTTAGATTGGGGTTAAATTAAATCTAAGACAAAGAATTAATGGTATAACTTCAGAATAACTGCTGAGAAAAATCTGAGCCTTGGAACATTAAAAAAATCTAGAAATTATTGTTTTTTTTCTAATATTTAGACAGAGTCTGTGACTCTGTCTAAATATCTGAAAATGCCCATGCTTCTCCTTCCCATTTACCCATATCCACCCTGAAATTAAATTATGTAGACATGCTTGCATGCAATTAATACCTGAGTTTCTGGTTTATATTTATCCACCCATGGTTCATTTTCAGACAGATATTCTTTTGAATTTTCTAAACTGTAAATCTGTTCTATGGAAGATAGCTTTCCTCTTTTTCCAGCTGGCAATCTGCTATTTTCTAATGTGAAAGGCGCATTTTTTCTTTTGTGACTTGAGTTATTCACACCCAATGATGTGGCAGTAATAGTAGAGATGCCTGCAGTCTCTGAAAAATCATCAAATGATGGGTCTACCCAGTCTGTTACCTGAAACAAAAGATCCATGTAAATATAATTACATTTTTTGCATGTATTCTCTATATAACTAAACTACTCTGGAAACAAAATGTTCATAAATTTATAGTATTTAAAATAAAAATCTTGGCCGGGCGCAGTGGCTCACGCCTATAATCCTAGAACCTGGGAGGCTGAGGCGAGCGGATTGCTTGAGGTCAGGAGTTCGAAACCAGCCTGAGCAAGGGCAAGAGCAAGAGCAAGACCCCGTCTCTACTATAAATAGAAAGAAAATTAATTGGCCAACTAATATATATAGAAAACATTAGCCAGGCATGGTGGCACATGCCTGTAGTCCCAGCTACTTGGGAGGCTGAGCAAGAAGGATTGTTTGAGCCCAGGAGTTGGAGATTGCTGTGAGCCAGGCTGACGCCATGACACTTACTGTAGCCTGGGCAAAAAAGCGAGACTCTTGTCTCAAAAAAAAAAAAAAATCTTACAAATTAGGTCTTTTTTTTTTTTTTTTTTGAGATAGGGTCTCACTCTATTGCTCAGGCTAGAGTACTGTAGTGTTATCATAGCTTATCACAACCTCAAACTCCCAGGCTCAAGTGATTCTCCTTCCTCAGCCTCCTGAGGAGCTGAGACTATAGGTGCACATACCACCATTTTTTTTTTTTTTCAGACAGAGTCTCACTCTGTGGCCCAGGCTAGAAGGCCATGGTGTCAAGCCTAGCTCACAGCAACCTCAAACTCCTGGGCTCAAGCAATCCTTCTGCCTCAGCCTCAAGAGTAGCTGGGACTACAGGCATACGCCACCATGCCTGGCTAATTTTTTCTATATATTTTTAGTTGGCCAATTAATTTCTTCCTATTTTTAGTAGAGACAGGGTCTGGTTCTTGCTCAGGCTGGTCTAGAACTCCTGAGTTCAAATTATCCACCTGCCTTGACCTCCCAGAGTGCTAGGATTACAGGGGTGAGCCACTGCACCCAGCCCTAAGTTTTTAATTTTTGGGAGAGATGGGGTCTAGCTGTTACCCAGGCTGGATGAAGCAACTAATATTTTTTATTATAAGAGAGGCAGGCTTTTCAGGGAGGATGATATTGGTCACGTAGAAATGCCTAAGAAGAAGAGTACTGGGACAACAGAAGAGAAAATCAGTGCAGTGCATTCTATTTCATGTTTTTCTAGTATACAGAAACTGTTGACTTCTCTACATTTGCCTCCATCATTTCCTTTTCTTTAAAATCCTTTGTAAATGTATATAGAGGATGCTGAATTGAGCGATTTTAACCTAAAAGTATTTAGAAGTATGGCCAGGTGCGGTGGCTCATACCTGTAATCCTAGCACTCTGGGAGATTGAAACCAGTCTGAGCAAGAGCCTGACGCTACTAAAAATAGAAAAATTTAGCTGGGCATGGTGGTGTAGTCCCAGCTGCTAGGAAGGCTAAGGCAGGAGGATTGCTTAAGCCCAAGAGTTTGAGGCTGCTGTGAGCTAGGCTGACACCATAGCATGTTAGTCAGGGAAACAGAGTGAGACTCTGTCTCAAAAAAAAAAAAAAGAAAAAATCAGGAGTATGAAAAAGCTTTTTCTCATAATTAGAAATTATAAAATGAATTTTCTTAACAGTCTAACAGTACAAATCTACAGGAATCTAGTTCAGCACCTGGCTTTTCAATTTCCTCCCTGGTTAACAAAAAGAAAACAAAATTATGTTAAATATTATCCTTCACGAATACTCAGCCATAGTTGTGAGCTATTTATTGTACAATGCTCCTCTGTTTGAGAAAAAGAACCAGAAGTTAGAGCTGATTCTCATTGGAGTTCATGAGACAAAGAGTAAGAAAAAAAGCTGGGGGGGTTATATGTACTTTATGAATGCTAAGTCACACTTCACAAAAGTTTGGGAATATGATCAGCAATGGATAAAGAAAGGAAGACCACAATAGACTAGCTATTTCAGTCATAGCTACCTATTTCCTCTTCACCAATTAAGATTGTCACTGATACTATACCTTTGGCCCTTTCCCCCTACATTTTAGAGTACATAAAAGTATGTTCTGTTATAAGTCTTTTGCTAGTAATTCTGACTTGCATACTACTTATACATTTTATAGTTTTATCTCTTACATAAATGTAGACTCCCATCCACCAAAAACAAGAAAAGAAAAACAGCAAAGTTAAATAATTTACTTAAGATCAAAGAAAAATTAGAGCCACCACTAGGGAAATAGCTACTTTGCACGAATATGATACCCCATCACACCGGAACCCTTATCTTGCTGAAAAGTGACATAGTCACTTTTGAACCACAAGACTTCTAAGAGGCAGGGCGTGCAGCTATGGTATACTAATAACCACTCATATATTTCTTTCTTCTGTGTCCTTTATTTATTTATTTATTTTTTGAGACAGAGTCTTACTTTTGTTGCCCAGGCTAGAGTGAGTGCCGTGGCGTCAGCCTAGCTCAGAGCAACCTCAAACTCCTGGGCTCAAGCAATCCTCCTGCCTCACCCTCCTGGGTAGCTGGGACTACAAGCGTGCGCCATCATGCCCGGCTAATTGTTTGTATATATATTTTTAGTTGGTCAATTAATTTCTTTCTATTTTTAGTAGAGATGGGGTCTCACTCAGGCTGGTTTCGAACTCCTGACCTCGAGTAATCCACCCGCCTTAACCTCCCAGAGTGCTAGGATTATAGGCGTGAGCCAATGCGCCCGACCTCTTCTGTGTCCTATAATTCAAGAGTTTTCAGTCTTTCCTTTGTCACTGCGATTGTAAACTTTTTCAAAATTATGGTTGTGTTTTTAGTATACAGTTGTTTCACAACTTATTATCAGACTTGTTTAAATTACAAACTACAACAGATACTGCACTCCATTATTTTGATACCAGAGGCAAGTCATTTAAAACATATATAAAATTTATAATTCTTTTTAGGCAATTATTACATTTTAGTGTATTATACCTTTGTGGAAGATACCTTTGGTCTAAGAAAAGTTTTTGACATTATAAACTTTAATGGTTCCCATCCGTAGTATACAACTTGCAGTGATCAAAATATAATTCACCTACAGAAAAAAAAGAAAGAAAAAAACAACTGGTCAAGAAAAACTGTAAATACAGAACTACAGTAATCAATAGGTACTGACATAATCAACAACACAAAGGCTGAAGAACTAGACAAAGAGAAGAACAGTTAACACAGGTGATCAAAGAAATCAAAATGCGAAAGTAAATTTTATCATTAATCGCCATAACTGTGTCAAATAATCTACTTGTGGTATTATAAAAAGTTTTTCATATCAATTCATTGTATTAGAGAAAAAGAGAAAAACTATGCATTGTGTACTTACCTTTTGTCATTAAGACAAATTAGACAATTTTATTTGAGCAGTTTTTATGCTGAAAATTAAAGTTCTTCTTAGTTCAAATTATGGCTGTTCATTCCAAAATTTCAAAAAAATCAAAAATCAAAATACAATGAACTCACTTGCTTTGGACAAAAAATGTAAATGATAGTGTAAATATTTTCTAAAACTGCTTTCCTTATTAGAACATATTAGAAAATTTCTTGGTAACACTGTGTTTTTCAACTGTGTTTTCAAAGCCTTAAATGCTTATGCAAGTTAGTGGATTCAACACTTCTAAGTTAGCCTGAGGAAAATCTAAGGCCTACATACCTATACAATGGAAGATGTATTGAACTATTTTATAGTTTGGAGTCACACATAGCCTATAAAGTAAGACACTCCCATACGCTAGAAAAGAAATAATTTACCCCCCCCCCCGAAAAAAAACAGTTCACAAACTGACAGAACTTGAAGTTCCAAAAGGTATGCAAGTGGAAAAAACACCTATTTGAGTAAACATAGTTGGTAGGTCGAAATACAGGCCGCAGATTGTTGTTATGGGTCAGGACTCCAGTCGCTCTATGAAAACAAGACTGACAATTACCTCTTTCGAAAAGCAGGTAACTGTCCCTGATGATGCCAGGTTCCTGAAATGAGATGTCAAAGGTAGAGGAGAACTTCCAAGCTATTCTTAGCAGACCCACCACCACCCCACAAAATGCACAGGGGATACTAGGCTCAAACATTCGTCCAACGTAATCCTGTAATCAGCGGGGAGCCGGGCTGAGCTCCAGTACCCCAGCTCCAGACCAGAGGTCTGCACCCTCACCCTTCTCATCCCCAGATGGGATGGGCGGGGATCCGGAGGAGGAGCGACGAGAGCACAGGAAGGAGTGAAGCCAGAGATGGACTCACGTCTCTAGGGCATATATACAACATGGGCTCAGCCACGCCTGCCTTACTTTCCTAAAGCTGCACCCTCTCGTGAGATGAGAGGAGCGAATGGGCCCAGGCTCTGCTCGGGGTGGAAAGACAGCACCTGGCCCTACACCGGCTCAACCTCAGCCTCTTGGAGGTCCCGCCTCCCGGGGACCTTCCAGACTGGTCGGCGCTTCCGCGACGCAACCCGAAGGGCGGGGGCCGCCAAAGGAGTCAGTGAGTGAGGCATCTAGCGCACTGCCTGATCGGAAATACGGACCCGAGTTGTACCCCTCCTTTCGACTTTTCGCTGGAAGCGCGTCATAGAAAGCCAGGGAACCTACAGACTGCGGCTGGGCTGCGGAGGTGGGTCGGGAGCGCCGTGCAGGGCCCGGAAGATATCTGGACTGCTGGCGCTTGCCGCTACCCGCCCCTTCCGGCTCCTCCCCGTAGTGCGTAGGACGCAGGAGCCGAGGCGCTAGGAGCCATCGCTTCGAGGACCATGTTGCTTCCGAACATCCTGCTCACGGGTCAGGGCGCGCGGGCAAGGGGGGCTGGTCGGCGGGTCAGGCTAGGGACGCCGAGTGCTCTGGGGCCTCGGTCGCCTCAGCGGGGGCCCAATCAGGGCTCTGTTTCGAGGCTAGCGGAGGGCTGCGTGGCGGCACGGTCGTCAGGGCCCCGGAAGCCGGCCCGCGAGAACGTCGCGAGAGGCGGGGGGAGGGGCGCCGAACGTTAATTCCGTTGGCCAGAAGCTTCTCGGTGAGGCGGAGAGAGGTAGACGAACCTGGCTCCTCTTTCGGGCAATCTGCGTAATGTCTCAGAATCTAGCTTTTTTTTTTGTCTATGAGATGGGCTATTGGTTCTTTGGTAGGACTGGCTTTGAGGTTTTTAGCGAAGTAATGTAAAGCAGCGTCTGGCTCTTAGTAGATTTAGGCCTTCTTGAGCTCAATTTTATTTTTCCTTGGCTTGTGAGAAACGCCTCCCAGATCAGACCTTGGTAAATGAGTTAGTTCAACTGTGACTAATTTACTGTGTACATTTGTTGAGTTAGCATCAGAGGTTCTTTTGTTGTTATTGTCCTTTTTTTTTTTTTTTTTTAAGAAGGCATCCTATGTGCGGTTTTGGTGGTTTCTGGTGTAGGAATGCAGTAAAGTTCCCGGCGGAACGTGGGGGTACTTCTGGGTCTTTGGAGCCAAACTTCAGGGTGCGTGTTATCAATGAAGGGAGCTAAAGTGCTGCATAACGACTCCAAAGAATATTTTTGCTGGCCATTTAGCCCTGAAAATATTTATTAAATTGTAGCAGTTATGGCATTATAGGTTATTCGTGGAAAAATCTAACAGGTGTTCATGCTGTTGCAACGTATAGAAAATTAAGATGCTCTTAGTGGAAACAAAACAAAGTTTTATTATTTAACAAGACTTAAGATTGTTGGCAGCCTGCAAATTCTGTTTCTGAGAGCAGCAGATTTACCACCTAACAAATAAGTATGTAGCGTTTAAGATTCCTTAAGGGGAAGAGTTTACAACATATTTGCATGAGTCAGACATGGTTTTTTTTGTTTTTGTTTTTGTTTTGAGACAGAGTCTCACTTTGTTGCCCAGGCTAGAGTGAGTGCCGTGGCGTCAGCCTGGCTCACAGCAACCTCAATCTCCGGGGCTCAGCGATCCTACTGCCTCAGCCTCCCGAGTAGCTGGGACTACAGGCATGCACCACCACGCCCGGCTAATTTTTTGTATATATATTTTTAGTTGGTCAATTAATTTATTTCTATTTTTGGTAGAGACTGGGTCTCGCTCAGGCTGGTTTCGAACTCCTGACCTTGAGCAATCCGCCCGCCTCGGCCTCCCAAAGTGCTAGGATTACAGGCGTGAGCCACCACGCCCGGCCAGACATGGTTTTTTAATAGTAAGTCATACTACCAAAACTTTAGAATGAGCATTTTATTGAAAACATGTTGAGTCCAGGGTTCAAACTTGGTGTATTATAGAGGAATTGAGGTTGAATGTCATTTATCCGCATAGTGAGACTTGTTTATCCGTGCTATTTTTAATTATTCTCAAACTTAATAGAGTGGTATTAAACCTAAATAGCTGAAAATTATGCATTTCATTATCTCGAAATATAGTAGGTATAAAAGGGAATGTAAAGAACAATGGCCCTTTATGTAAAAGGGAACATATGTTGAATTTATATATATATACATATACACGGTGTGTTTATGTGTATATACACACAGAATATACACAAACACACGCATAGAATTTCTTAGGAAAGATATACCTGTATAAGACACTGGTTTGCAGTGGTTGCCTCTAGGGAAGGGCATAAAGAGTCAGTAGTAGTAGTGAGACAATCTTATTTAATTAAAGCAAATAAATGATGGTAATTGATTTGAGGTGGCTAATTTTATAGGGGCAGTTCCATGGTGAGTCCCACCCCATAGGATCAGATAACACTCAGTGAGATTCTGATATCCAATTGGCTTTGGGAAATTTTTATTAAGTCATAATAAGTATTCGTATATGATTGCCAGTTAGGAAAATTTTCATTTTACTTGTCAAGAACTTTAAGGAGAAGAGAAGGTGGCCGAAGTCTAATAAGTAGTGTTTCACAGTGAAATTTTTCTGTGGTTTGTCTTACAGGTACACCTGGGGTTGGAAAAACCACACTAGGCAAAGAACTTGCCTCAAGATCAGGACTGAAATACATTAATGTGGGTGATTTAGCTAAAGAAGGTAAGGGACGCTCTGGTGTTAGATTTGTTTTATTTTTAAAAAGTCAGTGGAGTATTAGTACTAGGTGTTGCGAGAAGATAGAGAAAGCAGAAAGAGATTGCCATTAAAGAATTTATGCTCTCTTGGGACTCACAGAAATTTTGACCATTTCCCCCTCCTCCTCCCAAAATGGCTAGCAATTCTTGTGAATAGTAATAATTAGAAAGGGTTCCATGAAGAGATTTGGGATTTAGGATAGATAGAATCTGAATATGAGGAAGAAGGAGAGTGTTTTTGAATTGGGCAAACACAAAGGTTTGGGTAGTGCTAAGCATATATATGAAGAAAGTGAATATATTGATCTCACTGGACAGATTATTTTGAACTCAGGCAGTAGGTCATGACTGTCCTATGGTATCATTAGTTTGAAATTGCATGCCCGCATGCAACTGCATATATTGTAAGGTGATAGGTGTTTTTATATATTTTCCCCTGTTTTCCCCTTATCTTTTGTCACTCCCTTTTTTGTGTCTGCATCTTTTTATATTCTTTGATGATTTGTATAGGGTAGAAACTCAATAAATTTAAGTAAAGGGAACTTTAAGTATGCCTCATTCAAATTAAAAAGATTTAATTTATGGTTTAAATTTTAAATACATTTTTAAAAATTTAAGGTATATTTACATTTTTTTAAAAGTCCCTGACAGTTGCTACTTAAGTAACTATTTCAGATTGATCTAATATACATATTTTTTTCAAATGATCTAAAGTCTGATCACCGGATATCATGGAGTCTGGCAAGATGGCTTCTCCCAAGAGCATGCCGAAAGATGCACAGATGATGGCACAAATCCTGAAGGATATGGGGATTACAGAATATGAGCCAAGAGTTATTAATCAGATGTTGGAGTTTGCCTTCCGATATGTGACCACAATTCTAGATGATGCAAAAATTTATTCAAGCCATGCTAAGAAAGCTACTGTTGATGCAGATGATGTGCGATTGGCAATCCAGTGTCGCGCTGACCAATCTTTTACCTCTCCTCCCCCGAGAGATTTTTTATTAGATATTGCAAGGCAAAGAAATCAAACCCCTTTGCCATTGATCAAGCCGTATTCAGGCCCTAGATTGCCACCTGATAGGTACTGCTTAACAGCTTCAAACTATAGGCTTAAGTCTTTACAGAAAAAGGCATCTACTTCTGCAGGAAGAATAACAGTGCCTCGGTTAAGTGTTGGTTCAGTTACTAGCAGACCAAGTACTCCCACCCTAGGCACACCAACCCCACAAACCATGTCTGTTTCAACTAAAGTAGGGACTCCAATGTCCCTCACAGGGCAAAGGTTTACAGTACAGATGCCTGCTTCACAGTCCCCAGCTGTAAAAGCATCAATTCCTGCAACATCAGCAGTTCAGAATGTTCTGATTAATCCATCATTAATTGGGTCCAAAAACATTCTTATTACTACTAATATGGTGTCATCACAAAATACTGCCAGTGAATCATCAAATGCATTGAAAAGAAAGCGTGAAGATGATGATGATGATGATGATGACGATGATGATGACTATGATAATTTGTAATCTAGCCTTGATGCATGTAACATATGTATTTGGCTTTGAATCCATTGTATTGAAATTAAACACGCATGCTGGATGTTTTCAAGTTGTGTTTTAGAAAACTTTAATAAGTAAATATAGTTACCATACTTTCAATTGAAATGTTGGATTTTCTTTAATAAGAATTAGTAATGGTTTTTTAAGTGTAAAAAATAAAGTTATTGTTCATCAATCTGGTTGTTGGTATTTGACAATTATGTTTTAAAAGCAATTTCCTCATTGTCACCAATAGGAGTAATAGTTGAAACAAGCTGAAGTTGTTGCAATCTGTTCATTACCAATAGAGTGTCACTTGTAGTATCTTCAGATGTTTAGG